ATGTCTGTGTGTTGTTTCTACAGTCAGGGAGGCAAGGATCTCTTTGCCTTCTTCATCATGTGTTTTGTTTTCCGTGGAGAAATCCTTTTTCCGACAGCCACTTTCCTCCCAAAGCTTCAAACACCATATGTTCTTTAGAAGGAAGTAAAGTTCTCAGGAAAAAGAAGTTTTCAGCTGTCCGGTCCCTTTGCAGTTTAAATATCATTCAAAACATCTGCTCCTATTTTATTTGTTTGCCTATTGAAGAAAATCAGGGGTAAATTTGAGATAAAATATCTTACTAAACCAAATAAGCCCCATACTTGGACATCTGAAAAAAAAAACTTTGTTTAAACATTATAAGAGTGACAGAAAAGGTGTACAAATACCCACGATTAAGATTCTGCTAATAGTTCTGGCCGGTGTGGCTCAGTTGTTTGGACATCATCCGGCGTACCAAAAGGTTGTGGATTTGATTCCCGGTCAAGCACATGCCTGGGTTTGTGAGAGTAGGTTGGGGCACGTACAGGAGGCAACCAATTGATGTTTCTCTCTTCTTCTCTTCCCCTTCCTCTGTCTCACTCTAAAAATCGATAAAAACATCTTCTCAGGTGAGGATAAAATAAAATAAAATAAAATAAAATAAAATAAAATAAAATAAAATAAAAAAAGATTCAGCTAATAAAACCCAAAAGTTCAGAGATGAACTATTAAACACTTTTAGAGTAGTTCTTTCTGATAATTTCTAAACTGTTTTTTGAAAACCAAGTAGTTGATTGGGAGGCAATTTAACAAGATCATAGCAAAGTTTCCACGGAAAACCAAGAAAGCCAGGAGTTTATTCCGGACCTCTCTCTATAGGGAGAAGAAACATCTATAGGGAGGAGGGGGAGAGGAGGGAGAAAGGGAAAGAGGAAGAGGGAGAGAGAGAAGGAGGGAGGGAGGGAGGGAGGGAGGGAGGGAGGGAGAGAGAGAGAGAGAGGGAGGAAATGTCTGTGGAAAATTAAGCTCTGATGGGCATTCATGTGCACAGGTGGGCAGTAGCCCCTTAAGTTCAATATGCTATGACTGGGATCAGAGCCCTTTTCCATAAAGGCAGCCGTGCTGAACAATACAATTCCGCCATCTGAATCTTATTATATGTTTCCTGGCTTGCCTCCTTTTTTAAATGGCTCTCTGTGGTTTTGTTTTTGAATGTGGCAGAATTTTCATATAATGAAAAATCCATCTTGTGTGTTCATTCAGTGAGTTCCAGCAAGAGTGCAAACACCTGTGTACAAACCCTTGTCAAGACATACAACATTGTCACCCGCAAGCAACAGCTGTTCTGAGTTAGCACACTAGTTTTCCTTATTTGGGGACTTCGTATAGATGGAATCTCATGCAGTTCTTTTGTGTGTAAGACTTCTTCGACTCGCATAACGTTTTCATTTATCATTTGCGTCGCATGTATCAGTAGTCCATTCCTTTTTATTGCCGTGTAGTGTTCTGTTATAAAAGTATTCTACAGTTTGGGCTTTTTTAAGGTTTTTTTTGCTTGTTTGTTTTGTTTTGTTTTTGTTGTGTGGTTGTTGTTTTGTGTGTGTGTGTATGTGTTTGGTTTTTTTTAGCTGTGGATTTTGTTTTTGTTATCTGTTTTTCCTATTGATGGATACTTGGTTATTTCCCATTTTTTATCCAAATAAAGTTGCTGAGAATATACTTGTACAAGTCTTTTTCAGGATACAGGTTTTCATTTCTCTTGAGCAAATATCTATGACATCGCTGAGTCATAGGGCTGGTAGATATTTCATTTTATAAGAAACGGCCAGGTTTTTTTCTGAGATGGTGGCCATTTTTCACCTCCCACTGTCAACATCTGAGATCACTTGCTGCCATTAGATGCAAGCAGTCACATCTCATTTGGGTTTGAATTTGCATTTAATTTGCATGGCTAATAACACTGAGTGCTTCTTCCTGTGCTACTGACCTGTTGGTGCATCTTCCCTTGAGAAGTGTTTGTTGAGATCTTTTGCCCATTTTTAAAGATGAGCTTGTCTTTATATCGATATTATTGAGCTGTAGGTGATTCTATATCTCCATATAGTACACAGATAAACGTATGAGACCCTCCCCCTTTTCCAGGGAGTGGGGTCCCAGATACTTATCTTCTTAGCTGTATTTGTCCCCAAAATGATGCCACGGACTCTGCTTTGTTTAGTACAGTACCATATTCCCAGGGCCTATAGTTGTAGCTTTGAGGCAGAAAGCTTTGCAGAAAGAAAGGGTTTATTGAGCCATATGCTGGTCAGAAAAAGGACCAGGTCCCGGGACATACTGTCTAACCAGCGGTCGCCAACCGGTGGTCCGTGAGGTGGAAACCAGCAGCAGCAGCAGGGCCAGAGGGAGAAGATGCGCATGCCCTCTTATAGCAGGTCTTTTATACACTGGGCTTGGGGACGAAAGATGTAAATTGTTTTGAAAGAATTTACATTGGCCGCAGGAGGGTGGGAAAAGGTGAAGTGGGGGCAGTTCTGGGGTAGATGCTAGTCTCTAAGGAAGAAATCCTTCCTATTTCAGGATTGGTTGTGGGAAAGTTCACACATAAACAGGACATGGTGGCACCTGGCAATTGGCCTTTTTAAAAAAAATTTTTTGGTAATCCTCACCTAAGGATATTTTTCCATTGATTTTTAGAGAGAGTAGAAGGGAGAGGCACATCGATTGGTTGCCATCCACACGTGCCCTGTCCAGGGCCTGGGATCAAACTGCAGCTGAGGTACTTGAGTGGATTCAAACCCGGGACTCTTCAGTCCTCAGGCTAACGCTCTATCTACTGAGCCAAACTGACTAGGGTAGTTGGCCTTTTTTTTAAGATAGCATCCTGGAAGTTGATTCAAAATTGCAACATATAATCAGGAATGTGAGCAGTGTTTTGCTGATTTTGGCCTGAGGCTCTTTTTAAAAAAAAATATATATTTTATTGATTTTGTACAGAGAGGAAGAGAGAGGGATAGAGAGCTAGAAACATCGATGAGAGAGTCATCGATCAGCTGCCTCTTGCACACCCCCCACTGGGGATATGCCCGCAGCCAAGGTACATGCCCTTCACCGGAATCGAACCCGGGTCCCTTCAGTCCCCAAGCCGACGCTCTATACATTGAGCCAAACCGGTCTTGGCTGGCCTGAGGCTCTTAACTGATTCATCTCTTACTTCTTCCTCCCACCCTTGGACCTGCTATAATTTAACTTGGGACATCTCGGAATTTTTTCTTGTTAGAGCTCATTTACATACAAATCTACGGAAAGGATCAGTAAATGAACAGGTGAACTGACTTTTGGGCCTGCTATCCAGACTCAATGTTCTTGAATTTAATGGCGGTGATTAACAAGGAAACAGAGAAAAAGACATTAATGTTGTCCTTAAGCTATAAAGTTCACTTGGCACAGAAGACTCAGACACCTCCAGGGGATCTGCTCACCAGGGGAAATACTGCTAGAATGTCTCATGGACTAGACGAATTTGTCCCCCTTTATACATAAAGCCACTGCTGTCTGGCCTGCTGCATTCTGGACCATATCCTGCCTCTTCCACATCCTGGGTTCTCATTAGGCTTCCTTGACAGGTGATCCGAGCATCTAGCTGGGGAAGGTTTCAGACAACCCAGCTGATCCCATTTTTAAAAATATATATTTTATTGATTTTTTACAGAGAGGAGAAAGATAGAGAGCTAGAAACATGGATGAGAGAGAAACATCGATCAGCTGCCTCCTGCACACCCTCTACTGGGGATGTGGCCGCAACCAAGGTACATGCCCTTGACCGGAATTGAACCTTGACCTTTCAGTCCACAGGCCGACACTATCCACTGAGCCAAACCGGTTTTGGCTGATCCTGGCTTTCAGCATCTTCCTCCTGGCTCCCTATGACTGTTCATTCCCTGCCTGACTGACCCCTTCACTGGGGACTCTTTGCCTCACTAGCAGGCCTGTCCCCACTGGTTGCACCGCCTAAGGCCAGCAGGGGCTCCTTCCCTGTGGTCTTGAAGCTATTTTCCTGGTCCTTGTCCAGCTGGCTCCCGCCTGCCTTTCCTGTTAGGGGTACACTCTGAGTCGTCAGCAGCAGTATCCACCTTTATAGAGGATGCTGCCAGCAAGGGCACATTCACATCCTTCATCTTACGTGACCTCCAAATCGTCCTACTCCTGTCCCCTTTTGTTTTTCCCCAAGGGGGTGGCATAAAGCGGTGATTTCATTTGCTCCAGAATTTAATAGCTGCTCTTATGTGTCCCAGAGTTTTCTAAGCTTCTCTGGGTCTTGCTCAAAGAATATTGGTGCTTTTTTTTTTTTTTTTTTTTTTTTTTTTTTTTTTTTTTTTTAAAGCTCTGATGGGTGGTGTTTAAAAGTCTCCATAGATTTTTATAGTTCAGGAACTTGGATTACATGTCATAAGAAATTCATTTCCACACCAAAAATACATGTAGGTAGTTCCCAACCTTTTTAATTTAACCACCCCTCCATCTTTGGATCCCATCATTTAAATTTTTCTTCCACCAAAAATCTGCACATTATATGTATTTTTTTCATCCTCACCCAAGGATATGTTTTCCATTGATTCTAGAGAAAGAGGAAGGAAAAGGAGGAGAGGGATGAGGGGTAGAGGGGACATGGATGTGAGAGAGAAACATTGATCGGCTGCCTCACCCACATGCCCTGACCAGGGGTTGAACTGAAACCCTGTGGTGGACAGGATGACACTCCAACCACTGAGCAACACCGGCCACATTTTAATATCTCATAGAACCAGAATTCTTACATTGTATCAATATTTATCTCATTCAACTTGTACTTGCAAAGAGTCATGATAGGTATTCTAAAGGCTGTGTCTATAGCAGAATTAATTAATGTGCTCTGTATGCCAATGATAAAGGAGGAGTTTCCTTTGGAGGACTATTAATGTAATCTATTACTTTATTATGTTTATACATCTTATGTTTATTAGCTTATTAACTATTGTACTTGATCTTGTCTTTCTTTGTAGGAGAACCAGCACAAATCTACCAATGTCATCTATCAGGCTCACCACGTGAGCAGGAATAAGAGAGGGCAGGTAGTTGGAACAAGGGGCGGATTCCGAGGATGTACCGTGTGGCTGACAGGTATGCTGTGTTGATATACATATACATATACTTATACATATACATATACTTATACATATACATATACTTATACATATACATATACATATACATATACATATACATATACATATACATATACATATACATATACATATACATATACATATACACATTTTTTAAATATATCTTTATTGATTTCAGAGAGGAAGGGAGAGGGAGAGAGAGACAGAAACATCAATGATGAGAGAGAATCATTGATCCGCTGCCTCCTGCACGCTGCCTACTGGAGATTGAGCCTGCAATCCAGGCATGAGCCCTTGACCAGAATTGAACCTGAGACCCTTCAGTCTGCAGGCCCAGGCTCTAACCACTGAACAAACTGCCTAGAGCCATGTTGATATATTTTAATCAAAAACTGATGTGTGACATACAAAGTTAAGGAAATCATTGTAACACAATTACGTGTTTATTTTAACGTTAGAAGGAGGCTGAGACCTGCCTCCTAGCTCCACCTCAGTAAGAATGAGGACTTGGATCACATGGTGTAATGTCTCCTGTTCTCAGTTTTCTCCTCTTTGTCAGGAAAAGATGGGACAAGTTGATGATCACATTCCCATTCAGCCTAAGGAATTCCATAATTCTCAATTTCCTGCCTAAGCACATCTACTGGCAGTCATGAATGTGGCTTTTCTAACATGACATCAAGCATTTGGCATCAAGCAGAAAGTTCTGGATGTTTAGAGATATTCTTTATATTTTCTAATATTTTAGCTTTCAATGAGACTGTTTTTCATCGTGTAGAAAAATTAAACTGTGTGCAAGAAGGAAACCTTGTGATTTCTATTTAGCTGTGGATTGTTGCCCTTACATATAGAAATAACTCACTCCCACTGAGGTAACCAAATGAATCTCTTATTTTTGTGTGTGTTTTTATAGCCACAGAATTTCAAAGCTAAGGGTTAGTAACAGAACTAGAACTTATACTCTGAGTACAATGTAGAGAAAGTTGATTCCTGGGAAAAGTCTGACATAGTCTGATCTTAAAAGGACAAACCAAGATTATTTTATTTCATAATATTTCATAGACATAATATTTCAAAAAGAAATGATCTCTTACAAACAGATATGTTAATACAGATTAGGAAATCATTTAGGTATTACTATCCATTCACAAATGCTGATGGAGTCTTACCTGGGAATAATTCTAATGAGTGTGGCAGGTAGGGACCTGCCTTGCCTCTCTTCTTGACATCCTGAGTCTTTCCCATTTTTGTCTACATCAGCTTCCTTCTTCTTCTTCAAGTTGTTCTGTGTGTGTTTTTCCCCAGCGACTGTGACACTTTTGGTTTCCTGGTTTTATTCTTCCCTGGTCCAACAACTTTTCCAAGCTTCCAGGGCAATGAGAGACAGTGGGCAAGGAGCCTGCTATAGTCCAAAAGGCAGGATTTGCCTGGCTTGAATCCTGAGATGTTTCCCCCGACTCCCTCTGAGCTACATGAGGGCAGCAATGGGTAAAACACAGCTGGGTCCCAGTTATTTCTTCCTTGTGTGCTTGTCTTTATGTTGTGTGTTTGCCTTTGTGGATTTGCCCAACTTTTAAATTAGGACTTCCACACAGAGTCCATTTTTTTCTGATATGGAATACCCTTGAAAAATGAAAAAGAACAGTAGAAGAGGGGACAAAATTTATTTTTTATTCTGAAAAATGGCAGAGGTAGGATACTGACCACACAACCCAGAAAACCTAAATACCTTTAATTTTTGAGCCTATGTTAAATCATGTGACTTTGAACAAGTCAATTAACCTCTCTAAGGAAGAAACATAGTACCTGCCTCATAGAGTTGTAGGTAGAACTAAGTGAAATAGAGTAGCTATACACTTAGCAGTGCCTTGTCCACGGTAAAGCTCTCGATAGATGTAATGAGTGTTACTCCAATGTTTTAAAACAAATATGGCAGCCATCTAGTTTAATATAGTTACCATGGTCCAACAAAACCCTTGGAGGACACAAGAAGAAAATCAATGGAGAAAAATTAATTCTGCCATAAGCATAATTCATTAAGCATGATAATGTTCAGAATTTAAAAGCCACGTAAAGGCAATCCTCTGAAAAAGCAGTGGCTGGGTTACAGGATTTCAGCTTCCCGTAGTTTGTAAAAACGTTTAGGAAGCACAGGAGTGTAAAAACAGAACAACTTCTATTTTTAATCTCTGAAGAAAACAAATACTTTCACATAATGTCTCATTAGCCACTCCTTGGTAAACGTCACAGTAGTATAATAGTAATAAAAATAATAATGATGGCCCTGGCTGGTGTGGCTCAGTTGGTTGGCCGTAGGCCTGTTCACTGAAAGGCTGTTGGTTAGATTTCCAGTCAGGCCAAATGCCCAGGTTGATGGTTCCATCCCCGTAGGAGGGGATCATATTTGCTTTCACATTGATGTTTTTCTCCTTCCCTCCCTCTCTCTTCTCTTTAAAAAATGATTTTTTTTAATGTCTTAAAAAATAATGATAGCTAAAAAAAAAAAAAATTAAAACTATTGACTTAAAACATTACTTTTTCTTGGGGACAAATAGTTATCTCAAGGTTTGAAAGAAATGCAAGTCAAATTCATGATTCAAATTGCTCAGTTCTTTTTCTGACCATCCATTTTTGAGCCCTGATTTGAAATGATGGAATGGTACTTGAGCAGCTGATTCAGAAATAAAAAAGTTAATCTCACTTTAGAGTAGAAATTTGGAGTAAGTCCAGTCAATTCAATAAACCTGGTGATGATATAAAAAAAAATTCACTTAGCATGACCCATGGTAGTTCCACAGGAAAAAATATTGTTCTTTGAAATAGACTACATGAGGAATCTACTCTCTGATATAAATTGTGATATGGCTCTACAATAAAAGTGGCAAAGACAAGATACTTTACTTAAATGAATGGCCTAATCTTATAAAAAATGAGAGTAATACCGCTTACTTGATGTATTAATATCCAGATTCTATAATAAATTCAGTTGTTAAAAAAAATACTATTACTGTGATTTTAGCTCTTAGTTTTCTGAGAGCTGAAACAAAATCAAAGGGAAGTTCTATTATTTCTCTCATTTTCTGCCGGGAGAGAGCATGCCAGAGATTCAGGAGTTCCATTTCTCCTACCTTACAACCAGACAAATTCTAATAGGCAATGAGTTACATAATAAACAAAGTTACATAACAGATGATGTCGTCAGCAGTGATCTGTAGAGATTGCCAACATTCTTCAGATAGCCACTTGTCCTAATGATCCTATCTCAAGGCCAGGTGCATGATAAAAGGTAACTAAAATATGGAAATTATTTGTTTACCTTTCATGTAATATCCTTTTTTTAAAAAAATATATATTTTATTAATTTCAGGGAGGAAGGGAGAGGGAGAGAGAGATAGAAATATCAATGATGAGAGAGAATCATTGACTGCCTCCTGCATGCCCCCTACTGGGGATCAAGCCTGCAACCTGGACATATGCCCTTGATGGGATTCAAACCCGGGACCCTTCAGCCCGCAGGCTGATGCTCTATCCACTGAGCCACACCAGCTAGGGCCATGTAATATCTTTCTTACCAAGTCTCCTTTGCTTTCTGTCTTTCGTCCCTGCTTTTCTTGTACTTTTTGTCTTTTCCTTCTTTCCACCCTCTGTCTTTGTAGTGACTTCTTGATCTTCTTTTCTTTGCCCCTAACTATTCCTCTTCCACGCCTGGGTGCTGACTGACAGTGGCTTTGCACAATGAAATATTCTTCAGGTTCCAAAATCTTTAGGATTATTGAATGTGTTGAGTGCTACTTTTCCAGGATTTTAAGTAATTTTCGAATCACTTATGTAATTCCCTTTCTCCTTATGTTTTCCTTCATACTGAAATTATAAAGTGTGTTCCCAGCCATTGTGCTCTGAAACCGTGATCAGAGGTACATGGTAACTGTTCTCCTGTAAAGACTCCAAACGGCCAAGAGCAGATGGCAGTTCTCAATACACCCACAGCCTCGCTCAGGACGCTTTCCACCCTCGATGTTTCAAGAGTCATCGTCAAAAAAGTTTTGAAAATAAAGGACAGACTGTGGGCTCTGTGGTCAGATGCTTGTGCAGGGGCATCGACAAGGGAGGTGACCTCCCAGCCTTAGCAGGCTGGCTGTCCCCTCTCCTCTAGCTGATTGTTGTCCCAAGAGGCTGTGAGAGCACTCTCACCAGATCTTGTTTTTGTTTTTTTGTTTGTTTATTTGTCTGCTTTTATCAAGAGAAGCCAAAATCTGGATTTTATGTGCAACTTTCTAATCTTTAAAACACTCTGCAGGCCCTAACTGGTTTGGCTCAGTGGATAGAGCGTCGGCCTGCGGACTGAAGGGTCCCGGGTTCAATTCTGGTCAAGGGCATGTACCTTGGTTGCGGGCAATCCCCAGTAGGTGGTGTGCAGGAGGCAGCTGATCAATGTTTCTCTCTCATGGATGTTTCTAGTTCTCTATTCATCTCTCGCCTCTCTGTAAAAAATCAATAAAACATTGAAAAAAACACACAAAACAACAACACTCTGCAGGCCACACAGAACATAGCAGGAACCAAATGCAGCCCCCACGTGGTCTCCCCTGTGTGAACCTCCCTGGCTTAGAGAGGCTATCATTCTAATAAGGAACAAATCGTTCTCCCAAGATTTGAAAGAAATGCAAGTGTTGGACTTATATAGCACACTAGACTTTTTCTAGATTTTAAGCGTTTTGATTTGAGGTCAATCAAGTGATTGCAATAAGGGTATAAGTTACACTTCGAGTAGGTAAGAATTAGGATCAGGTCACGATTAGGATCAGCTTCCACTTTGTCATCTTCAACAACCAGGGTCAGTGCCTGTCTGGTCTTGCCTGCTCTGAACAGGTCTCTCCGGGGCTGGGAAGACGACGATCAGCTTTGCTCTGGAGGAGTACCTGGTCTCCCACGGCATCCCCTGCTACTCCCTGGACGGGGACAACGTCCGTCACGGCCTTAACAAGAACCTGGGCTTCTCCCCGGGGGACAGGGAGGAAAACATCCGCCGGATTGCCGAGGTGGCCAAGCTCTTTGCCGACGCTGGCCTGGTCTGCATCACCAGCTTCATTTCTCCTTTCACCAAGGTAAACTGATTTTGCTCCCACACACTGCCAGCCCGGCGCTCTCCTTGCCAGGAACAGGAGCTGGGAGGGGGGAGGGTCCGGAGGAGTGTCAGACTTCCAATTTCCCCTCCTGTCCCTTGCTCCCCTCCCTTGCTTCCTCATTTCCTTTATTTAATATGGTGAAAAGAGAGGTCCTTCATTTCCAGATGCCAGGGCACCAGACCACAGAAACCCTTCCACACAACACACACACACACAGCTGTAAGGCACCCTTGGCCAGAGCTGAAAGGAAGAAAACATTCACCAAGAAAAACTCCAAGGCTCTATAATTTCATTTCTCCCCAAATTCCGAGGGCTTAGCTCACTTAAAAAAGGAAACAGCTGCTTCTCCCCAAGCCTCAGGTTCTGTGTATTTCACTCAATTCCTGGAGGGGGAGTGGCCCTCTCCGGGTTTGTCCAGAGCTTCCAATAAGAAGCTTTGTACTTGCAACGTCCTTTGAATGAAATGCTCCCACGGTGCCAGCCCTGAACTTTAGCAGAGATTCCTTCCCGGGGTTTGCTCGGGGTTTTCTCGGAAAGTGCTCCAGAGGACTGTTTGCGGGAGTGACCTCTCTGTGCTTCCTCTGAAGGAGGAGGCTCCCGCCACCTTTGCTGAGCCCAGACCCCACTGCTGCCTTCACACGATGTTCCCGGATGAAGAATTTCACTGGGAAACCTCTTTTTATGTTCCTAAGTGAAATTTTCTTTTCAGGATCGCGAGAATGCCCGCAAAATCCATGAACTGGCCGGACTGCCCTTCTTTGAAATATTTATAGATGCGCCTCTAAACATTTGTGAAAGCCGAGATGTCAAAGGCCTCTACAAGAAAGCCCGAGCCGGGGAGATCAAAGGTAGGAGAACCAGCTCAGCCACACCTTGGCCTCTTGCGTGTGTCACCCATCCTTCCTGGTCTGTCCCTGGAAACCTGTCGGAAGTGTCAGAAGCTGTTTTCTAAAACTGCATATAGTATACACAACCTCTATCCCACCCTGATGTCCATGGGCTTATTAAAACATGGGTTTATATTTTTTAATAGTTTTTTTTTAATTTTATATATTTTTTATATTTTAGATTCCACATTGCAACTAATCTATTTGTTTGGTTAGTTGATTTTTTGTTAATCCTCACTTGAAGATATTTTCCCATTGATTTTTTTTTTTTTAGAGAAATTGGAAGGATAGGGGAGAGACACAGAGAGAGAAAAACATTGATGTGAGAGACACATCTATTGGTTTCCTCCCACACCTGCCCTGACTAGGGCCGGAGGATTGACCTAGAATCAAATCCAGGACCCTTCAGTCTGCGGGCAGGCACTCTAACCACACTCTAAGGGCTGTGAGTTCATGTTTTTTAAGAACTGTCACCTCAGTGATGAGGAGGGAATTAAAAAGGATGAGTCAGTATGAGTGTGTGCTTAGGAGTGTGCCTGGGTTTTCCATCTTCCTTTATTATTCTGATCAGCTGCAGGCGGCTTGGGCTGATTTTGTGGCTCCTTTGGGACTTTCTCTATTGAAAATGCGGCTGTGTATTTTCTCTCCTATGGCTAGCGGTCCAGGATGGCTGGGTGACCTTTTCTGTTATAGTCTGAATTCTCAGCTTCATACATATATTATGTCTTATTGATTAAAAAGATGGTTCTGTTGGGGCAGATGTGATTTCCACCTTCTGCTTCGCAGGATTCACGGGCATCGATTCTGATTATGAGAAACCTGAGACGCCTGAGCTGGTGCTTAAAACTGACTCGTCCTCCGTGAGCGACTGTGTCCAGCAGGTGGTGGAGCTTCTGCAAGAGCAGGTGGGTGGCCTGCTTGTCTTTTCTTCTTTTTTTTTTTAATTGAATAAGATCATGAAAGATCATCTACTTACTGAAGCATTCTTTTTATAGCTTTCATTTCAAACTGTCCCCCATTCTGCTTCATTTCAGAGCATTGTACCCCACACTGTCATCAATGGCATCCATGAGCTCTTCGTGCCGGAAAACAAACTAGACCAAGTCCGAGCTGAGGCGGAAGCTCTCCCATCCCTGCCAATTACCAAGGTAAGAGGGTGCGGGCTGGCCAAGGGGAATAGCGCTTATATCAGTCATGATAATCCATGTACCGTTACTCTTCATAATAAGGGAAACACGGTGTTCATAAAGAAAAACGTTTCATCTTGTCAAATGTTTTTTAACCTCTTCTCCAATCAAATCTGTTGCCAAGAATTGCCACAGGGCAGCTGAGCCCAGAGGCAGACGAGGCAGGTAACTGAATTTCCACAGGACAGTGTTGCTTGGTTGCCTTCATCTCTTCAGTGGTGCCAAAGTGTATGCAGTAGGCAATAATCGTTGGCAGCTGCTGGAAGATTGCTTGTGAGGGACACAAGTGCTTCTTGGGCAGTCAAGAAAGAGTTTGGGGGAAACAAACAAACAAACAAAAACACCCTGAACTAAAGTGGTATGAATGCCCCAATCTTTTTCTACTCTGCAAATTCTCCCCTTTCCTCGTCAGGGAGCATCTGGTCGGAGGAGAGAGGGAGGCAGCTGTGGTTGCATTTATTCTGCTGCCTGGGAGATATAGATGCAACCCCCGCAGACTGCTCTGCACAGACTTGGCCCTTGTATGGGTCAGTGTTAGTTGGTCCATCCAAGGTGACCATGTTTTCATTGGTATCTTTTTGTTGTCTATTAAAACCTTGAATATTTTTATAAGAGACAGAATACATTTATCTTTTAGATTCCACTTTGCAATTAATCTGCCACAAGCTGGTGGCTTTTAGATTCTGATCCGGCCAAGATCAGAAGCAAGTGTAATTCATTGGCAACCTGTTTCAGCTCATGAAGACTCTGTACTCTGATGACTCATGACAGATTTATACACAGAACCCCTTACTCTACAGAATAAGTTCTGAACACTCCAATGTTCCAGGCAGATTAGAAACATAATTACAGTGTGAAATCATAGTGCCAATAACAAAATGGGCTTTAAGGTAAAAAAACAAACAAAAAACATCAAGAACTTCAATCTAATGATGATTATTTTTTTTATTTTTTTTTGTCCTAAGAATGACAGGAAAGTTTTCAGAGACATGATCCAAGAGCTGGATTTTAAAGGATGAACAGGAATTTTCATGCGGGAAGGAGGTTAAGCCCGAAACCACATATGTGTTTAGACTATGTGTTGTTAGTGAACTGGCTCCCAAGCAGGCAGTGGGAAGAAGTGGAAGTGCCTGCATGAGCCCCTGGGGCCGGAGCTGAAAGGGCTTTCCGTATCATGCTAAGAATTTTGGAATTTTATTTCAGAGTCAGTGGTTTGTCCAATTCAGTCAATTAAATAGTGCATTTGGTGAAAAAAAAATATAGCCAAGCCAGAATTTTTGTGGGGTGGGGTGGGGGGTGAGCGAAGAGAATGAGTTGTGAATGTTCAATACAGTCGCAACACCTTAAGGATAGATACAGCCTGAAGTGTTCAAATAAATCATCTCAATTTGAAATCTTTTCACCACTCCCCTGTAGGAGAGTTCTAGATTCTAATGTATGTGGCCCCAAGATTATGGGTCAGCATAACACATGGGAACACTAAAAGCACAAAAGGTTTTGCCTTCCTCCTGTCAGCGGAATATGAAAGAGCCACCCTGGGGCCAGCCGGCTGAACAGCAGAGCTGATGGAAATGTTCACCTGCTTTTCCTGTTTTGCAGCTGGACCTTCAATGGGTCCAAGTTCTGAGTGAAGGCTGGGCCGCTCCCCTCAAAGGTTTTATGCGGGAGAAGGAATACTTGCAGGTTATACACTTCGGCACCCTGCTAAATGGTATGGTTTTTTGCTTCATTATTATTAATTATTATTATTAGTTGTTGTTGTTGTTATTTGATCAATACAATGAAATTTCCCAAAATCAGAACAAATTTTCTTGATCAGTGTATTCAATGCCACAGCTGATGGACAGACATTAGGAAAGGGGACTTGCCCTGGACTCAGAAACCCTACCGTTCACGACCTACCTCTGCCACGTATTCTCGGCTTTGGAAAAGTCACTAAACTTGTGGAAACTTTAGTTTTGCATCAGCATTACCCTCCCTTATATAAGTGCAGATTGATTCTCTAAGTGGATTTCTAGATTCTGTACAGTTCTGAACACTGGTTTTGCTCATTTCCTCCCATTCCTGTCAACTTTCCATCTCCACGTGGTCCCCAGAGCTTTTTCAGAACACAATACCAAGCCTCTGCACTCCCTTTCTTGCCACTCTTTATTATCAAAGAGAAAATCTTTCTCAGGGTCTTCATAGGAGCAAGAAGTGCTAATGGTTGGCTTATAAATCTTACTGTGGACATAGATCGCATATGGTGCATCCAGTTCTATCATGTAAAAGCTTCCGTTTGAAGGAGTTTTCTGTTTATCCTCAAAGGGTAATTGGTTGTTTAAAACCATGGAACTGAGCCGAGACCGGTTTGGCTCAATGGATAGAGCGTCGGCTTGGGGACTGAAGGGTCCCGGGTTCGATTCCGGTCAAGGGCATGTAGCTCGGTTGCGGGCATATCCCCAGTAGAGGGTGTGCAACAGGCAGCTGATCGATGACTCTCTCTCATCGATATTTCTAACTCTCTATCTCTCTCCCTTCCTCTCTGTACAAAATCAATAAAAATATATTAAAAAATAAATAAATAAAAATAAAACCATGGAACTGAAGGTTTTCCTTGCACACAAAGCCAAGGGGGGGTGGTTAAGCCTATTTCTCCTCCACCGCCCTTTGTTGGCCCGATGGTCAGAGGGCAGCAGACAAGCAGAAGCACTGTGGATGCTAGGACCCTCTCTGGGCAACCAGGATGAACTCAGCACCACTCATCCTCCAGGTGCTCTGTCAAGCCTCCTTCCAACAGCTGCTTTCGTTGGTGTGTGCTAAAGAGTCGGTATGCATGTCTATGCATGAAATACACCAGGATGGCTTCTCCCACTAAATGCTAACAAGGGCGCATGGAAGCTGCTTTCCGGGCACAAGCTGGTGGCTTTTAGAGTACTGATCTGGCCAAGGTCAGAAGCAAGTGTAATTCAGAAAACTCATTTCCTTTTTCAAACTGCCAGAGCTTATCAAATGGATTTTATCTGTCTCAAGACTGTGGAGAATGGCTGAGTAAAGTGGGACGGGTGGTGGTAGAGTCACCCTGACTTTGTAATACTGAGCAGGGCTCAGACCTTTTAGGAAGAACACTCAAATCAGATGTTATTTCTTGGGAAAGATGTTCATGTTCCGGGCTTGTGCCTCTGCCTGTGGAATGGAGCATAAAAGCCAAAATCAGAGCCAAAAAAGACTCTGGTCAACATGGGTCCTCGCCTCTCACTCCTCTTATCAGCTCTTCCATTATCAGCGGTGGCCGATAATGCCCCCAAACTTGAGACCTTCATTTGTCAGATTCAATAACATTCCAAAAGCACTTGATTTACATAAGGCTTGCCTTAATAATAATAAAGCATATCTGTACATTGCACTACTTGCAAAGCATTTTCTCAGGCATCATTTCATGGGATCCTCTTGAAAGCCCTGGGAGTCAGGCAACTATTTTCATTCTACTTTACAGATAAGGAGACGGACCTCGGGTTAAGTACTTATTGAAGTTCATACATTGGTAATGAGGGGCCCAAGACCAGAAACCAGAATGTCCTGACTCCAGGCCCGCTGTTCTTTCTGTACCTTCTGCTCTCCAGGGGTCCTTTTCTACAGAAGCTAGGAGTTCAGAAAGTTTGTACAGCAAACATTTACAGGCTGACATTTGTCTCGATGTCTTAATTTTAACACATGCTAAACACAGGCTTCATTGAGTAAATACCACTCGACTCAGCCGTCAGCCACGAACGAGAGGCTGACCGTGAGCATATGAACCAGAGCTGTGGTCAGAATGAAAGTGAGGCACCTTGGAAGTGAGACCTTACTGCAGGCATGGTCTATAACCTTTGACTAAGATTTGTTCTTTAAAGAAAAATACCAGGGCAATGGGTGTGGTTGCAAGGCCAGTGTTAATAATGGAAATCAGGGTAACTTGGGGTCTAGGACTTCAGGTTTTGGGGACAAAAAGAATCCTAGAGTAGGCAAAGTAGTTTGTTTTGAGAAGGAGAAGAGGGAGGAGGCATTTTTCTTGGGCTTCCTAGATTTTGATGGATTCTTAAAGGAGTCTGTAATCCAGGAAGATGAAGAACAGCTAATGCAGAAAACCCGTCTGGATAATTTCAACCAAATCTCTCTCCCTCCCACAACATTTCAGTTGCCTTTCAAGATGATGCTCTTCAATCTGCAAAACAAAGTTGTTTTTCTTTTTCTCATTTGGTTCTTACTACCATAAGGTGGATAAAGCATTGTTGCTCTGACCTCCCATGTAATACAGGTGCCCATCTCTCTCCTCCTCCAAGTCCACAGTCTGGGGATACAGATGAGGTCGCTTTCCCATTAATACTTGAATCCCACTAGTTTTTTACTCCTGCCTGCTCCTGGAGAAGCCCAAGTTCTTTCCAAAGCCTCCCCCAGTGTTTGTGGGGATTCTCAAAGGGTGTTGCTGTGCTCCAGAATCAGGCCCCCAGCCATACGCCAGTTACCATGTGGGTCTGTGTCTGTCTGCACCCACAAAGGGGCAGATTCTCCCATTCACTCCAGCCACTGCTGTCCTTGTACCCAGTGGGAAGGAGAACATTCCCTTCCTCTGTGTTGACCTCACTTAAGGACGCTCTAGAAGGTTGCTTGAGACCCAGAGTGTTAGAGAGCTAAGTAAAACAACTCTTGTGATCTTACACATCCCTTTATTCTCCTGTGGCTTCCAGCAAGGTATGTTGGGTAAGGGGATACGACCAGGTGTCATGCTGTTTCCATAATCCTTATCCACTTCTAGCCTGTAGAGCCTATTTCTGGGACTTTCTGCAAGACTCCTTTGTGCCCCATGGTAATTCTCTGCTGGCTCCACCATCTACCCCTGCAACCCGAAACCACTGGACATAACCTGGGTATAGTCAGGGTCCTAAATGCCTCATGCCCTTCAGGAGCCTGCTCAACGCCTATGGATATCAGTTAATAAAAACAGATAGCAGGGATATAATATGCTGCCCACTTCTACGAGAGTAGGGATGGAATATCATAGTGGATAAGAGTGTAAGCTGTGGAGCCAAACTGTCTGGGTTCATATGCCCTTGATTCACTATGAACCTGGGCAAATCACTTAAACTCTCTGGGTCTCAGTATCCTCATCTGTAAAAGAGATATTAATATCAGAACCGACCTCATTGGGGTGTTGAAAGTTTAAAGGAATGCCTGGTCTAATAGTAAATGTTTTTATACATTAACAAGCCTCCATGGCATGCAAGTAAAGGAACTTGAACTCTTGAAGAGAGCAAGGCTTATCTCTAGGCATATCAGTTTGAAGTAGCACACAAAAAAGTTCATCAGCTCTCCAACAAATATTAAGTGTTCTCATATGCCAGGGTTTGTTCTGGCTGCTGGAGATAGAGTGTTAGTGAAGACAGGTATGAGCTAGGTGGGACAGACAGTACAGCTCATTGTCCGAACCTGGTCCAGTAGGTTCTTTAATGTTTGACAATCACCACATGAGTGATTGTCAAACATTAAAAAGCACACACGCGTGCGCGCACACACGCGTGCGCGCACACACACACTCACACACACACACACACACACACACACACACACACACACACAAAACGCCAACTGTTAACCAGCCCAGCTAGCATGGCTCAGTGGTTGAGCATCCACCTATGAACCAGGAGGTCACAGTTTGATTCCGGGTTGTAGGCTTGATCCCCAGTGTGAGGTGTGCAAGAGACAGCCGATCAATGCTTCTATCTCATCAATGATGTTTCTTTCCCTCTCCCTCTCTGAAATCAATAAAAAAAAATATTTTTAAAAACCCAAAGAACTGTATTTCAGTGAAATCTGAGGCAATTACAAATTTCTTAATCGCCTACAGTCTGTAGGCAATCATTCTTTTATTCTGACCATATCTTCTAAAAACATTTGGTCAGTTTTATTTTTCTCAAGGATTCACATCCCCCCCCCCCCACATTAAAAAGGAACTAGCTCAGTTTAATTTTTTTAGTGTTTCTAATAATTGTATAATGAGGTACTCCCTATTGTCCTCAAAGATCTATTTTCATGTCAGTGTACTATATCAATTTATTTCTCACTGGATATATAAAGTTTGTGGGTTAAATCTAAATTTAACAATGGCATTATAAGTTTGTGTTCTTCACTGGTGACACCAGGTTGGGTCAAGTCATGGCAGCTTTGTGGGACTCTATCATTTTTAAGAGTAAGTTTTCTGAGACTTCTGAGTTTCCAAGGCAGGGCTAAAGGGCTTTCCTTCTGTCAGCATTTATTCAGCACTTAATGTGGTCTGACCGTGGCTTTTGACATAGGACATCATATTTAATCCAAATAACACCACTATGAAGATGTGCATATGAGGAAATAAGTATTGGAAAGGTTAACTCACTTGTGGCTTATCCATAGAAAGCATGATTTCAGAAACCTTGAAAGTGTTATTGTTAACCTCACTCTGTTTTCTCAATTAGACTATGCAGTGGGTTTAATTATCTTTCCCCATAAACTTCTGCTTATCCAATGCTTTACAATATGCCTCCTCCCAGCAACCCAGGGGAAAACGAATTCTTTATTATCCCTATTTCCAAGTAGGAAATTGAACACAGAAGGTGAATGGCACAGGAGTCAAGAGGAGAACACATGACTGAGTTTAGTGTTCTCCGCACAGGGCTTGGCTGGCTCTTATGCCTCTGAACTTTGAAACAGGGGAGTTACTTGAGTGACAAAACCCATTACTTTCTCTGCACAGTGTCTTCCTTTTGGTTTACAAGGGTTTGCAGAGCAGGTTACAGGGTTTTATGATGGGATTTCTTTATTGCTGGCAGTTGCTGTCTATATTCTCTGACATCCTTTACATTTTAGAAACTTCTGGAGAGAACTTAATAGGAGTAAAGTGGGATGCCTGGGGACTATGGTTTCATAGCTGCTAGAGAGAGTGTTTCGCTCCTCAAAACAGAACTCAGATCTCAGATCTTTAATTCTGTCGGAGGCATTCTAAATGTTGGCTTTTGAAGTTAGGTTTCAAAGACTTCATTCATCTATGGTACATTTCCTCAAATCCTTAAGTAACTGCATTTGTTTTCTCTGGAGTTCAAGGTTTTATTTACCTTCCTTTCCTTTCATTCTGAGCCTTGAACTTTGGAACTCCCCACTCTCTCCTGGCTCCATTTTCTTACCTATGAGTACAACAGGGAGACGGACACATGCGTTGGGATGCTTGAGCACCATGACAAATGGAGAAAAACAGTTGTGCAATTTCTCTTGCATGAATTAGCCGGCTTCATTAAAACAGATGTTTTCCGGGGGACCAAAGGGAATCCTTTTAAAAAGCCCCAAACTGAGAAACATCGTTGTTTTTCTCTCTCTCCCTCTAAAAAATTTAATAAAAAGTAAAAATAACAGAATGTGTTAAACATAAGGAAACTTTAAAAAATGACTCCATCATCACTAGTTGTGCCAGTTATTGTGCTGCGTTCTAATGTGATGGTGCCCTGAGGACTGGGAGACAATCAGGATTGTTGGCCTCCCATTAAAGGAACCCTCCCTCCCCCCATGACTATATTTTTTGTTTCTGTATGAATTTGGTTTTCCAGAGGAGGGAGGGAAGAAAGGAGGGGAGAGGAAGAGACGGAGAGAGATTTATATTTTAAGGAATCAATTATGGCAGTTGTGGAGGTCTGGCTAGTCCAAAATCTGCAGGGCAGGCTGGCCAACGGTAGACCCAGGCAAGAGTTACAGTACAAGTCCAAAGGCAGTCTGCCTGCATTATAGAACTATATACCTGGAACTTATATAATTTTATGAACCAATGTCACTCCAGTAAATTCAATTTTTTAAAAAGGCAGTCTGCTGGCAGAATTTCCTCTTCTTCTTAAGAGGTCTAACTTTTTCTTTTTTTTCTTTTTTTTTTTAAATATATATTTTATTGATTTTGTACAGAGAGAAAGGGAGAGAGATAGATAGTTAGAAACATCAATGAGAGAGAGTCATCGATCAGCTGCCTCTTGCACACCCCCCACTGGAGATATGCCTGCAACCAAGGTACATGTTCTCGACCGGAATCGAACCTGGGACCCTTCAGTCCCCAAGCCAACGCTCCATCCATTGAGCCAAACCGGTTTCGGCATGGAGGTCTAACTTTTTCTATGAAAGCCTTGAACTGATTGGATGAGGCTCACCACATTATGGGGGGTAATCTGCTTTACTCAGAGTATGCTGGCTTAAAATGTCAATCTCATCCAAAAATACCTTTAGAGAAATGGTTTTGAAATCTAGAATAACGTTTGACCAAATATCTGGATACTGTGCCCTCGCCAAGTGAACACATAAAGTTAACGATCACCGTTTCTATCTGTTTTTACCTAGTTTTCCTGTCTCTTCCTTAACGGTCAAGCTATCATATGACATTTCTTGCAGTTACAAAAATGTAAATTTTTGAACACCACATTCCACACCTTCCACCTTGCTGTGCTGTATGCTAAGAAGCCAGTACACCCAGGTTACCTGACTACCTCTTAACGTGAGAGACTCAGCTTCAAGATGAGGGGTGCTCACTCGCCAAAGAAAGGGCATGAGCTTTAATAAATAAACTTGGTGTTGTTTTTCATCCCTCCCTGGTTTTTGATGGATGGAGCTCAATTGTGGTGGAGCTAGCAAGACCTGTGGTTCTCCGGCGAGTTTTTTCAAAAATATTGAAGGGTGCCAAAACCGGTTTGGCTCAGTGGATAAAGCGTCGGCCTATGGACTGAAAGGTCCCAGGTTCGATTCTGGTCAAGGGCATGTACCTTGGTTTCGGGCACATCGATGATTCTCTCTCATCAATGTTTCTAACTCTCTATCCCCCTCTCATCCTCTCTGTAAAAAATCAATAAAATATATTTTTTTAAAAGTATTGAAGGGTGATGCTGCCCCTGGACCTCAGTAAACAACACCAAGAGGGCTGCTTATTTGGGGGTTCTGTTTATTAATATTAAATGTCTGGGTTTTTTGTTTTGTTTTTTCCTTTTTCTTTTCCAATTCAATGTATTAGCAGTGCAATTAGAGCCTAAATAGATAGCGAAACCTGCCAGGTGTTGTGACAAGGTTCGTTTCCAAGGAAGACCGGAGGGATCTTTTGTGTGTGTGTGTGTTTGTTTGGTTGGTTGGGCTTTTAAGCTTTCTAGTGCGTTGAGGTCAGGCCTGAGCATTCAAACGGGGACTCAGAAGGGAGACACCCCTCCCTGGTCCCCTCAATTACTGAGACAACCTCCAGGATTTGAAACTCAGCCCACTTTTCACAAGTGCCCACCTCCTGACTCGAGAAGCCCCTCGAGGATGTCTCATCACAGAATGTGGAGAAGCAGGTGCAGCTAGCACAGACCACGTGGGATTTAGGTCTTAAGGCCGATTGCAGGCAACGTGTCTGGCAGGGAACTGGTGCACGTCTGAGTCATCCTTACAGGACAGCACGCTTTCATCCCATATTCACGACCCCCCCCCCCCCATGGCTCTCTCTGCAGATGGCGTGATCAACCTGAGCATTCCCATCGTGCTGCCCGTGTCTGTGGACGACAAGACGCGGCTGGAAGGCTGCAGCAAGATTGCCCTCACGCACGGCGGGCGGAGGGTGGCCGTCTTGCAGGACCCCGAATTCTACGAACATAGAAAAGAGGAGCGTTGCGCCCGGGTGTGGGGGACCACGTGTGCCAAACATCCCCATATCAAAGTAAGGTGCCAAACCTTCCCGGAGGACTTAGAGAAACCGAAGTTAGATTCAAGAGTGCATTTCCAAGGGAGGTTTTCAGGCTCTGGTCTAAATCAGTGTTTCCCCAACTTCTCTCATGATGAGAATCACCTGGTGGAGTTGTGAACCTACAGATTCCTGAATCCCAACTAAGAAGTGCTAAACTAGAATTTTTGGGAACATATAGGTAAAATTGTATACTTAACTAGTGCAGGAATCTGTAGTTTAACAACTCCACCGGGTGATCCTCATCATGAGAGAAGTTTGGGAAACACTGGTCTAACTGATCTCTTGAGTCCTTGGCTCCTGTGATGTCTGGGTTTCTCAGCTAAATGGGAAACAACTGGGCCGGGTGGATCATTTAGTCTTGCTAGCATCACAAGCAACTGTAGCTGTGCACAAAACCAAAGTTCTCAGGGGAAGTCCGTTTCTTCCTACAGAATGGGTCCGGCCAAAGCCTGGGAAGAGACGCAGAGTTCACGCTTTGTGGCTAGGGCGGAGGTCAGAGACATCCTCTCAGTAAACAAAAATCAGTGTGGATATTGGCAGAGTTTCCGGAGGAAGATACCACATTTTCGTCACCGGATATTTCTTAGATTGAAAAATGTATTCATCCGACGAGGATCATTTCAAGTTTCTCCTGCCTACAGGCAAAAACAGAGAAACCTCCTCTGATTAACCCTCACAACTTCCATTGGATAGGTGGGAGTGGAGGGTATTCTGGAATGGCTGGAGGTGGTTCATTTCCCATGAAGGAAAAATATGTGAAATTGAATACAAAAAAGCATTCCTTATTCAATAATAAAACATTAGGGTTGACATTTTAGAAGATTGGACTTGTCCAATTCCGTAGCTGGGGTAACTGCTTCTCAGAGTTTTCACAGAATAGAGAGCAGTTTGAGGCCCAGGAGACTTCAAAAAGCACATCTTCTCTCTGGACCTCAGTTTCCTCATTTATAAAAGGAGGGGCCCAGACTCAAAATAACTCCAAGATCCTTTTCAGCGCCAAGACCCTGCAAAATGTTTAAATAAATCTGTTCGAATCTGTCGGGCAAACTTAGGTTTTTATTTTTATTTTTTTTACCTGAAATGTTGCAAGGTAGGAAGGGCTTTTTCAAGGCCGCTGGTGGACAAGGTCAGTTGGCCACAAAGCAGCTTTTCCTTTGTTGGACCCAACTCTCCACACTGCAGATAAGCATCTTTAATCATTTTTAAAAATAGTTTTATTGACGTTTCATCTTTTTTAAAATATGTTTTTATTGATTTGAGAGAGAGAGAAAGGGAGAGGGAGGAAAGGAGAGAAAGAGAAACATCAATGTAAGAGAGAAACATCGATGTGAGAGAAAAACATTGATTGGTTGCCTCCCACACAAACTCTGGCCAGGGATTGAACCCCAAATCTGGGCATATGCCCTGACAGGGAATCGAACTGGCAACCTCGGTGCATGGGATGACGCTGAGCCATGTCAGCCAGGGCAATCCTCTTCAAACTTAATGCACATCCATCTCAAAGCCACCCAAACAGCTTTTCTCCCAGAGGCTGGCAGACTATCCTGTAAATTGCTAGACTGAGCTATTTGAGGAATTCTGTCCTAGGCCTTCATTATGCCTGATAGTAACCATATAAATTTGTGATCTCATCTTCACTCAGTGACCTAAGGAATAGTTGCCTGTCGTCAGGCCAATTCAGATAATTCTGCGCTTTGGGCCTGACATCCACATACACGTGATTAGCTTTAAAAGGAAAAAAAACAACACCCAATCAGCCAACCAAATAAAACCTAAGGAATTATCTCTCTTCATCTTATCTTGCAACATGTGTTGGCAGTTGGAGCTCAGAATCTCTTAGAAGCCAGGGAGAGTGGTGATGAAACTGTGACCTTGACATTATAGTCAGTGACTCTGTACCATTAGGTTATTAGAGGAACTCTGTAAACATTCCCAGTGAGCTAGCTAATGGTGAAAAATGGGTCATGGATAACCAGACAGAGAGAGACACTCGCCTTGTATACACTACACTTGGAGTGCTGAAGGCGTGTTTGCCAGACACATAACACATGGGTTTTATTGGGAAAGAAACTCTTCGCATTGTATTTTTTAGCACCTTGACATTCACAGCAATACTTAAACATGTGTTTTGTTTTGTTTTTTTTAAAAAAAACACAACACACCAAATCTTCCAAAAGTAATTTCATCTAAAAAGTAATCATAGGTCTTCTTGCATTTCCATGTGAGTGATATTTACATAGAAAATGGTCAGAGTCACCGAGGAAATGGTCTGCCTCAATTGCATTGCTCCTCATTGAAGTCACCTTGACCTTCCATTCAAGTCATCCCCACCCTCTCTCTCAAGTCATTAACATGGAACCATGTGACATGGTCTCAGGTGAAATCATGAGGAGGAGCAGGTGAAACTTTAAAATAGTGCTGGGAAGAGCCCTGTTGCCTTTCATCCATGGCTCTCAAAGCTTCTCTAGACAGCAATTATTTACCACAATGCTCATGTGAAGTATTCCCCTTTTATAGATGTGGGAACCAGGAGAACAGAGTATGACTTCCCTTTAGCTTTGCAGTGAAGACCAAATGGTCAATTCGACTAACAGAATCACCTGGGGAGCTTTGCAAATTACCCATGACTGGATCCCCCCCTCACAGATTTTAGTTGCCTTGGGGTCAGTTCTGGATATTGGGGGTAAAAGTTGCCTGCGATTCTACCCTACCATGAAGGGTGACAACACTGCATTAGATAATCACCCAGAGCTCTGTCCTGTATGGCTCCTTTCATCCAACACTATCATGGCTCTCTTTTCATTACTTTCACTTCTCTCACACCTCACAGCTGTGGGTCCCACAGAGAAATACAAAAGAAACTCACATACCACCTTTAAAAGTTACATATTCAATAAATTTATATCTTTTGTCTTTCTACCTTGACAACTATGCTTTGATAACAATCTGGAAGGCCAGATTCAATTTCAGGCACCTTGGTTCTGCTGGCCTGTGGTCGTGTGGAGAGCTGGCTCTTGGCCTAGAGCTGACCGGTCCGTCTCTTCTGTGCTTGGCCTAGTCCCATGTCATCGTGGCCCTCTGGTCTGTCTATTTTGTTTCCATGTGAATTTCTAACATGGAAAATAATGCTGGATAAAACTTGAATAAACAGACGCCCTTTGGGGGTTCTCAGAGTAGAAAGGGATTGAGAGACCCACAAGTTCGATAAATGCCATGCTAGAATTGCTGACGCGTTCAAGGAGTCAATGGTAACCCAAGATTGGTCCACGAAGAGAAAAATTTTCAGGTAAACAGAAGTCCATATTAATGACTAATTCTAATAACCACCTTTCTAGATGGTGATGGAAAGCGGGGATTGGCTGGTTGGTGGAGACCTTCAGGTGCTGGAGAGAATAAAGTGGAACGATGGGCTGGACCAGTACCGCCTGACACCTCTGGAGCTCAAGCAGAAATGTAGAGAGATGAATGCTGGTACGTAGACTGGCTCGGATGCATTTCTACTCCTTACCACCCTCTTGATTGCTGAATTAAGGGTGTCAGCAACAGCATGTGTATAGTTTTAAAAAGCTGGAAACATCTACTGAATATGTCTACTGATACAGAAACAGTTTATAAAGTTGAACTACATCCATACACTGGAACACTAACCAGCTGCTAAAAATATGCACCGACACGGAAAGATGCCCAAAGTGTATTTATTAAGTGAAAAAAGCAACTTGCAAAACCATATAACCATTCTGAAAAACAAAGTAAGCTATGATGATTGTTCCTAAAACCCGAAGCGCTTTCTGTGTCTGGAAGCAGCAGTCCCACAGCGAGCACCAGGCTGCCTGCTGACAACAGCAGCCGCCTCCGGGGTGGAATTGGACCAGGGGAGGGAAGGTTTTCACATCACATAGCTTGAAGAAAAGAGGGATAAAAAAAAAATAATAAGGTTATGGGTGATTTTTATGTTTTTGACTTTTCTGTATTTCCCAACTTTTCCATAATAGCTACGTATTTTTTCATAACCAGAAAGAATAAGTAAAGCTCTCAGGTATCCATCAATAAGTGGAGTAGTTTTGAAGATTCCCATAAAGAAAAGATTTGAAATTATAGTGCTAGATTGTTGAGACCTTTCAGGGGCCCCAGGAAATGTCCCTCATTATTCGCCCCTGCCCTCCCCCTCAGGGGGGGGGGAGTGAGACTAGAGCAGGGGCTGATGACTGCAGGGGGCACCTGCCTGAGCCTGGTTTGCTGCAAAGGTCCTGCTAACAAACGCTTTCATTTCTGCATCAGGCTCTCCCTCTCGGGCTTCCTGCCTCTGCGCCCTGTCCCTATGTAAACAGTCTGACCTTGGTACCTTTGGAGTAACACCCCTAGAGGCCCAGATAGATTCTCCAGCTGATTATCAAAAACAAGTAGCTCCGAAACTGGTTTGGCTCAGTGCATAGAGCGTCAGTCTGTGGACTGAAAGGTCCCAGGTTCGATTACGGTCAAGGGCATGTACATTGGTTGCGGGCACATTCCCGGTAGGGGGTGTGCAGGAGGCAGCTGGTCGATGTTTCTCTCTCATCGACGTTTCTAGCTCTCTTTCCCTCTCCCTTTCTTACTGTGGAAAATCAATAAAATATATTTAAAAAACAAAACAAAGTAGCTATAATGAATGCACTGAACAATACACACGGCTGCATCTTTCTGTTCCTGCAAACAAGCCACACTGCACTTCTCTGACCTTGGCCTCTGTTTTCTTGCCCAGATGCGGTGTTTGCCTTCCAGTTGCGCAATCCTGTGCACAATGGCCACGCTCTGTTGATGCAGGACACCCGCCGCCGCCTCCTCCAGAGAGACTACAAGCACCCGGTCCTCCTGCTCCACCCTCTGGGCGGCTGGACCAAGGATGACGACGTGCCCCTGGACTGGCGGATGAAGCAGCACGCCGCTGTGCTCGAGGAAGGGGTCCTGGATCCCAAGTCAACCATCGTCGCCATCTTCCCATCTCCCATGCTGTATGCTGGCCCCACAGAGGTGAGCGGGACCCTGAACTGGGCCATGGGACTCAGAAGTACAGGCTCACACTTGACTTAAAGAGCAAATGAGTCCCTGTGATCTTCCTTCATCATGAGCAAATTCTAAAATCTTCTGATCTCTCTTCTTTATCCAACTGACCTGTTTCCAAGCAATGCTTATAAAAATGCTAGAAACAGCCCTAGCTGGTTTGGCTCAATGAATAGAGCATTGGCCTGCAGACTGAAGGGTCTCAGGTTCAATTCTGGCCAAGGGCACATGCCTGGGTTTCGGGCTTGGTCCCCAGTAGGGGGTGTGCAGGAGGCAGCCAATCAATGATTCTCTCTCATCATTGATGTTTCTCTCTCTCTCTCCCTCTCCCTTCCTCTCTAAAATCAATAAAATATATTTTCAAAATGCTAGAAACATCAAATCAAACCTGTCATACACCACCTTTGAGAATATGGAAGTTGGTGTATAAATAAGGTAGATCGTGAACCTAACTGGGTTATAGGGCAAGTTGTGTCTAACCCAATCTTCAGTTTCTGAAGTTTCAGTGACTCTGAGTCTCCATGCTCTGTGAGCTACATTAGAAGCGCCCCACCCATCACACAGCCAGCCTATCAGAGACCTCTGTCCCACGGCACCACCGGTGTAGTGGATTTGAACAAGTTTGTAGGAAATATGATGAATTGAAAGGATCTCAACCCTTTGGAAAGTCCCAGAGTTTAACAAATTAATTCTCTTTAACCTTCAAAGTTCCAGGCCCCCTAGTTCTCCTCTCCACTCTCTATGTTTCTATCTGAGCTTTAAAGAGGACAGTTCATTTTGAAATCCCATTGCTGTGTTGAACTGGAGTCAGTGCATATGAAAGGTAATTGGCTCATTCTTGACAGTCAGCAAAGAGACACTGGAGCTTGTAATTTCCTTTAAACTGTGATTTATTCTGAATAGAGGACTGGAGGGTAAAATCTTCACAGTTTTGTAAAGCAGTGAGATCTGAGTGTTCCTGGTTTGCTAGCCTTGGAGAGATGAGGAAATGTTTACTCAGGCTCTAAGAGGGGAATTCTTATTTTTAAAGCTCCTGTCCCACCCAACATAACCAAGCAGATAGAGAGTAGAATCTTGGACATCTCACTCACTTTCTTGCAATTAGTTGGCCAGCATTACTGAATTACTTTTAAAGCAGAATAAGGATGTGTAAAAGAATTGGCCAAGGATAACCAGCATCTCCCTTACATGATGTTTCCCAGGTCCAGTGGCACTGCCGGGCCCGGATGATTGCGGGGGCCAACTTCTACATTGTGGGCCGGGACCCTGCAGGAATGCCCCACCCCGAGACCAAGAAAGACCTGTATGAACCCACTCACGGGGGCAAGGTACTGAGCATGGCCCCTGGCCTCACCTCTGTGGAAATCATTCCATTCCGCGTGGCTGCCTACAACAAAGCCAAAAAAGCCATGGACTTCTATGATCCCAAAAGGTAGGTCTTCAAAGGAAAATTAATTGTTTGTTTTTAATCTTTATTGTTGAGAGTATTTCAAATGTCCCCCTTTTTACTCTCCCCCCTTTTAATGAGCATTATGATGCACTAATCATACTCAGAGCACACAGAAGTAGGTAGAGCAACACTAGACACTTCCATGAACAGAGCAGACACAGTACATATTGAATGGATAGCTGCATTGTGTCCCCTTCTTCTGCAAGTTCCTTTACTGAACTGAAGAATTAAAGAATTGCCATTTTAGGAGGTGCAGCATTTTACAGAAGGAAAAAAAAAAAATGGTCTCGGAACCCATAAGCTACTCCAGGAGTCTTTAAGGAAGATGTTATTTACCTACATGGAGTTCTTTGTTCCTACCCTGTGACAGGCACAACGAGTTCGACTTCATCTCAGGAACCCGCATGAGGAAGCTGGCCCGGGAAGGAGAGAATCCCCCAGACGGCTTCATGGCCCCCAAAGCTTGGAAAGTCCTGACAGATTATTACCGGTCCCTGGAGAAGAGCAGCTAAATGCCTTTGGCTCCAGTTTCCTTCTCAAGTGCTTTTTGATTCCCTTTCCTATTTTTGTGATTAGATGCTTTGAATCCAATTGTTTCTCAATGACTGATTTTAGGGTTTTATAATGAGGTAATAATAATTGTGTCTAAAATTTATAGTCAACTTCAATTATATAAGAAATAAGTCAAACTGAAGACCAAATCTTAGCAGGTTAACAGCAATAGTATCATCATTTTAGAAGGAAATTAATTGTATTGTCTACTGCATCTGAACAGGTAGGTTTCTTAAAGCTCTGACCATGTGTCTAGTTTACTTGCCAAAAAGGAAGGCGTATTTTCCAGCTTAAGTTTTACCAACCTACCCTCTACCAATGTTCCACACAAGAATAAATCAAATGGGCAGCCTCTTCTAGACAACTAACAAAATAATTTCTCACCCTGAGTGAGGTGTGGCTCACAGCAAGATTCTTCCTAACATTTCTCCTCATGTCGTATACAGCCCGACTGTCCAATCTTTTAGGTGCTGAAGCATAATCTGACTGGAGAATGTGTGAAAATGTGAATTTACTCTCAGAGATCTATGCAACCTACTTCTGCCATGAAAGTTCTATTAACTAATAAGAGAAGTCTTTACGCACTTCCGTGAATAATATAACTCCAGTGAAACAGTTTCTTGTCATTAAGAGTGCTTTGGTGAGATTTCCACCCAGGAAACATTGTGGGAAGTTACTTTTTCTCCTCTATGAAGAGGCTATGCCTTCACAGCAGCAGCTGCTGTAACTGAAAACCATTGGTGCCATGAGTGAGCTGCTAAAACTGGAAAAGACCACAGAGACCATCGAATGCAGCCTTGTCCTGACAGGTGACCAAACTAAGACAAAGCAGGAGCACATGCTGCTGAGCATGGCAGCAAAAACAGAAATTTGGCATAATTAGGAAGTACCAGTGGTTCTCAATGAGCACCAAGGCCACGTGATCCCCTATCTGAACTCAGTCTGTACAACAGAGAAGGTCTGATTCCCCTCAACTGCTTAGGAAAGCTCCGTAAATAAAGGGCACTTACAAAGCAGCCTTCTTGGATGCTGAAAGGTTGAGTTTTGAAAACTCAACTGATTTTATTGCAGTTAAAAACAAAACAAAACAAAACTTTTTCCAAAGACTTACTGCTGGTTCTGAGACATCCAGCCTCTCTGATGGCTTTACTTCCTGGGAGGCAATCTTTTTATACTTTATGTGTAATTCCTTGTGCTAAGGGATATATGAAGAAACAGTACCTTTTGTACATGGGTCTCTCTGGAAGAGACTTAAACTGGAAAGAGAAAACTGTGATTTTTAAAAAATATTATGTGTTATTTTCTTAAATGCTAATCTTAGGTAATGAAAGTTCTTTTGAGAATAATATACAATAGTCACAGCAAAGTGCAACCAATTGTCTTTAATAATAGAGTGCCTGTACTCATTTAATTAGAGGTACTCATAATTGCCTTTTTTTTTTAAAAAAAAAAGTGTATTTATTGAAAACATGAGACCGGATATAGTAGTGCCTTAACCCAAATAGTTTGTGATTTTTAAATATATTTATAACGATTCTTCTGCTCTAATACCACACAGTGCAAATGGCTATTTGTATGTACAACTGATGCTTGTCCTCATGTTAATAAATTTCTCAGAATGAACGCCTGGGTTTCTCTGCCTGTTTAACACTCAATGTGGGTTGACCACATGACTGTTGAGGTCTTGGTGACTTCAAGTAACTGGAAACTGCAGCAACTCTTTCAGACCGTAATTACAAGGCTGTTAGCTCTTACCCATGTCATTTCTAGAACCGATCTGGATGGGAGTGACATAAGCACTGGTGATGTTTTCAGAGGCACCTGGGTTCCTTAGGGACCTCTCCCTAGGATTTCATTACCTGAGGATCCGAACTGAGATTTTTTTTAACTTGCTCCCTTTTTCTCAAAGTGCTCGCAAGAAGTTTTACCAATGGGGCTGGAAGCAGTTGTGTGTTGTCTGCAGTAACTCCCATACCTCCACTAACCTCAATAATTGCTACTTCTGTATACAAAAAGGATGCTTGCTTCCACCCGCACGTTCAGGGGCCTCCAGGAAGGCTTGCATTTTGGTTCCCTTCCTCCTTGAGCCCCTAGCCTCCTTTCTGTCCTGAAAGCTTAAAGGAAATGACTGCTGCTGAGCTTCACTCCAATAAAACTGGCGCAGTAGCCAACTCAAAGCTATCACTTGTCACCCCTTCCTTTTCCTTTCGAGATCCTTACTTGTTGGCTCCTAGTGACAATTAGTAGGACAAAGTAGGGCAGGAAATGTGTACATTTATGAAGATCTAAGTGGTGCCAAGGGAGTATACTGAACTGTAAAGGGCAGTGTGAAAATCCTGGAAAGGCATGGATAAATCATTCACTCAGATATTGGTGGACTTAAAAATGTTATCAACACTTGAATCAGGCCACAAGATTTCTTTCCAACCATATTCCTTGTAAGAAGAAACAACTCTTGACTACTTGAGAACAGCAGAGTTCATTTTTCCTCATCTTCCTCCTTTTTGTCACCTGAATTTTAGGTCAAGCACAGTAGGTAATCAGGATATGAGACGGTCACCAGATCAATCAATTGTTCTTATATCTGAAGGTTTGAAGGAACAATAGTGCAGCATTAGCTAGTGAGGCACACACCATTGTGTTCATTTCAGTTCCAAGTTTTGCATGACAATAATTATTTCAATGTTTGGCTTGAGTTTTAAAACTGAGCTACCATGATTCACAACCTGTGTCCTTGGTGCCCACACCAGAATTCACACTCATTGCAACTGTATTTCAAAGCACAAAAGCTTACAAGGAAAGTGTGCTCAAGTAAATTGATAACTAAATATTAGACAATCACAAAAACATTCCCAGTTCAGTGTTTCAGTAATGAAACCTTTATGAACTATAATAATATGCTAATTAGACTTGACAGCTGAACAAAACAACAGTGCAGATGAAGCCTGGCACTGCAGCTGCGAGGGCCGAGCCTTTTGCACTGATTTCGTGCACTAGGCCTCTAGTTGAGTCATAATAGCACAAATTTTACAGCGCTGTTACTGAGGACCTTTTGTTTTACTTTCATTGTTAAATGGTTTCTTGTAGCTTAGATCTCATTTGCATCTACTTGCTCTACATCTTAATACAATTTCATGAACATGTCTTAGAATTTTCTCCCACCCGTGTAAGGAGAGCTTTAACTTTTGAGGGTGGGGAGGGAAAAAGTGAAGGGGAATAAGATGTATAAACTCCCAGTTATAAATAAATAAGTTATAGAGATATAATGTACAGCACAAGGGAATGCAGACTATTGCAATAACTGTACAGTGACAAATGGTTACTATATTTGTCATGGTGATCAATTCGTAATGTGTATAAATGTTAAATAACTGAGTTATACCCCTAAAATTCATAGTATTGCATCTCAACTATACTTTAATAAAAAAGAGGTCTTTCCCAATGTTTACCACTTAGGGAAAAAGCATTTTCTTAAGTCAGAAACTCTAAGCATAATCCTATCTAATAAAAGAGTAATATGCAAATTGACCATCACTACAACACACAAGATGACTGCCCCCATGTGGACATAAGATGGCCAGCAGGAGGGCAGTTAGGGGCAAACAGGCTGGCAGGGGAGCAGTTAGGCATCAATCAGGCTGGCTGCAGAGTGGTTAGGGGCAATCAGGAAGGCAGGCAAGCAGTTGGGAGCCAGCAGTCCTGGATTGTGAGAGGGATGTCTGACTGCCTGTTTAGGCCCGATCCCACTGGGCAGTCAAACATCCCTTAAGGGGTCCTAGACTGGAGAGGGTGCCGGCTGGGCTGAGGGACTCCCACCCCCACCGTGCACAAATTTCATGCCCTGGGCCTCTAGTAGTAGTAGTAGTAGTAGTAGTAGTAGTAGTAGTAGTAGTAGTAATAATGATAATGATAATAATAAAGTTCCCTCAATTACTTTAAGACATTAAGATGCCTCATTGAGTCATAATTGCTAGGATTAGTGTATTTTTCTAACTTCATTTGATGATTAAAACTATGATAAATTTAATAACTACTACTGGATAGTCTGAATTGAAGAGAAGATAAAAAGAAAGGACCTGAGAAGGAATATATCACACCTTTTTTTTTTTTTTTTCATCAATAAGTTATAACATTAAAATAAATGATTACTGAAATTCTTACTAATTACTAGTATGAGTTAGTGTGTAAGATACAGAAGTGTGAATGCTACACAGCAAGATAAAACCAGTCTGAGGGCATATTTTATAAACCAAAACCACCCCAGAAAATTTTATGTAACTGAAAAAGACCAGCCATCAGTAGAGCAAAATCAATTAAGAGGGACCTCTTTATTACACATTTATAAAATAATAGTATAATTATTAAAAATGGAGACTATATACTTTTTGGTATCTGTGTTTTGCATTCAATTTTTTAATCATCTTCACAATTTTTCAAAACTTGATTTTTATTATCCTAGAACTTCAACCCCACCCACCAAAGCACAACTAAAGAACCAACTATTCAGCAGGTTCTAATGAGAGACTTATCAAAAAGTTACTCAAATAACGCAACAAATAAAGATTGAGTTTTCAAAGAAATACAATAAAAACAAAAACATAAACAGCATAATTTAATTTTTTGATGATTCAGAAGGTTCCTCTGTCACAGTGTGTCACGCTCCTCATGCTGCGTGTTTAAGTGCCATAACAATTCTAATTAATGAAATTGTGGACAAAAAAAATGTTCACTGACGTGTCAGCACACACAGCCTCAGTGACTGCAGGTGCAATATGGGAATTTTGATGTGTATATTTGTACTAACTGGGGCACAATTTATAATATGCTAAGAAAACTTTTTAAATTTCAGTAATAAAATGAATATTTTTAGCATATTTAGCAACAATTACTAGTTTTAAATCATTTTATTTTTGATGATCAAATTAGATTTGACCATAAATAAAGAACACATAACTTTAAAATAACATTAAAAAACCATGGTTACAACAGAACTAGGCAACATTAGATGAAGAAAGGGAAAGTCACATATATGTATTGTATGGCACTGAGCTTTTTCTAAGCTATTCTTTTGAATGACTTTCAACCACCTTTATGTATATCAATTTATAAATGTCTCTACTCGGTGTGCTTGTGGAAAGGTGAAATTGATGTTGGTTACGCAACTGCCTGAAAACCATTCAATGCTGATCTCTGAACAAGTATTATTATATGATTATCCTGACAACTATAAAAATTGAGCCACATCTAAGTATTCAGATGTGGCTGACTCCAACTGTTCAACTTTAGAGAATGCTCAACTTTAAAAAAAGCTGAAACAAGTGACAATTAAAAATGGCTGAATCGCTGTACCTTATAGACACAACCCTCAATCTTAGTTTCGCTGTAAAGCATTTAGCACTTTTTGATTCAGTAGTTGGGGGTAAAAAAAAGTTTCTGTATTCAAACATATCTACAGAATGTCAATATAAAATGTGTGACTATATACATTCAATACACACACGCTCACATACCTAGAAAGCAGCACTTAACCACATCTCCATTTCTCACTAAAGACTCAATGACTCACCTGTCACTTTAAAACAAGCTTAGATGTTATAAGGCTGCAATATATGGCTAAAGAGGCCAAACACAAGCACCCACACGCAGGCTGGATTAAATTGTTCCTCCTCATGATTTTTGACAAGTGGTAATACCATTTATGTAACAACCATGTCTCAATAACTTAGAAGTCAGAGTATAAAACCAGTGTCATTCAACTCCCTCACTGTGTAAGAACACCACTCCTCCCATTCTATTTCCACTAATGATAACAGGGCACACCAACCAGGCTGCACTGACCTGCACAAATGACGTTTACTCTTAATCTAAACAAACATGTGTTAAAACATTCTGAAACGCTGCATCCTTCGACTTCTTCATCTTTTCAATTGCCCGATGCAGGTCCTGTTGCTGCACAGGCCGAATTTCATCTTCATCATGGCTAAAATGCAAATACAAGCCCACCAGATATTTAAAAACTTTAGAATAAACCTTCCTAAAAGATTTTACGATGATTAAAAAATAATCTCTTTTCCAACCAAGACCCCAAAGACAAACACAATTAAAAATTCGTGTGAACTTTTTCAGGAGCTATCTATGCATTACAAATCTCTTTTTTAAAAAGCACTGACTGCTAAAAGGTAGAAAGCTAAAATGGCTGGCTATAAATATTATAGCTGTGGTAACTAAAATCAAATACTTCACACTAAGAATATCAGTAGAGAATATTAGCACACAGTGAAAAAGTTCTATAAAGGTGTGCCAATTTACCTAAGTGGAAACATTAATTCCAATCAAGGAGTCAAACATACTCCATCAAAACTAAAATTAAAAAGTAGCTTTCTTACAGATATAATTCATGTATATATTTGGCTTTTGACAAACTAAAATTCTTGCTATTGATAAAAACCAACTAATCTAAGTCCTCCTGACTTTAATAATAAGAAAAACACAGTATATAATGTCTCCTTTGTAATTTATGGACACTTAAGAAAAATCATTTGGGAAAAATTTTAAGATAATCCAAATCTATTGGTCAGATTTTTCACATTGAAATATTAAAATTTTTCACGGCTTTGAGGACAACAGAAAAACTTTCATTATTGATGTAATGTTATTTAAGCAAAATTTACTAATGTTATTTTCTTTTTCTTCTCTTAATCTTATTTACAAGAATAAAAATCTTTGGCATGTGGATTGGCTACAGGGGTCAAAAGTATTCCCAACTTTAGCACTCGAGCAGCTGGAACAATAAATAAGTAAATGGGAGTTGCTCTCTGCATGACAGGGGTCGAGGGAACACTGAAGAAAAATCCAGATTAGTGCATACCTAGCTAAGGTTAACAGGGTAGCTTTCATGCAAACCTTCTATACCGAGAACAGCTCCCCCCCCCCCCCCAATATGGCAATGCACTATAATTAAACACAATAATACAAGAGGTAAATCCAGGTCACTCAGAGTGAAAGCTTCTGGGGCATAAGGAAAAAAGACAGAAACAAAGGGTAAGAGATTCAATACAAGCCCCAAAGTACACTAGCTTGCCAGAGTCATAGAAATTCTTGGTTAAGAAGAGGTTGATACTTGGCCCTGGCCAATTAATCTCAGCCTGTGGACTGAAGGGTCCCAGATTCCATTCCAGTCAAGGACACGTATCTTAATTGCAGGCTCAATCCCCAGCCCTGGTCAGAGCATCTATGGGAGGCAGTCAATTGACGTGTCTCTCTCTCACATTGATGTTGCTCTCTCTCTGTCTCTCCCTCTCCCTTCCACACTCTCTAAAAGTCAATGGAAAGATATTCTCGGCTGAGAACTTAAAAAAAAAAAAAAAAAGTTTGATACTCTGAACAGGGGTTTAGAATGCAGAGTTACACTGGCTCAGGGCAAGTAGCCTTTTGAAAAATTTCCCAAGGGACATAGTTCATCAGAGCTGAGCTATTCCAGTTCAGCAGTATCTTTGCTTGAATAAGGTTGGTACAAAACTAGTTTCTCAAGCTCATACTTTGAAACTGGTTTCAAATGAAATTTGCTGCAATGGCAAATGGTTTATTTGTTTAGTAAATATATTATTATTTGGAAATCTAGTCCACAGAAAGGCCCACCCATTTACATGTATAATTTCTGTAACACAAGGTACTCATTATCATATAAAATGAAATTTAGGAATTTAAGATGCAAAGCAATCCAGGATTACTAGAGGACCCTACTTTCCTAGTGGAGATGGGTAAACCTAAGTTTCTGTCAGCTTTCTGTGACCAGTCCATGGATTTTCAGTATAAATTTGGCTTTTTATCTCTACCTCTTCATTTTAGACTCTCCTCAAAATACCCCTTCCTCAACCATTTTCAGAACTCACCTTTAAAAAAAAGACAATAAATAAAGTTGGGGAGATCGTTAATGCCAATTTACCTTTTATTCCATACATAAAGTTTGTATTATAAAGAAAAATTAAAAAAAAACTTAACCTTAAAACTCTAAAAGGATTTGATAAATATTATATTAGAGATTAACTCTATCCACACATACCTTTCCTCTGATGTAGAATTAACATATTCCCTGACACAGAGGAGGGCAGCATCTCTACACATCTCTTTTAGGTCACTTCCTGAAAACCCATCAGTTTCCTGGGCAACTTCTAGCAGGTTCACATGTCTGTCCACCTTAAACAAATATGTATAAAACACACTTAGAAAACAAACACAAAATATACTGCAAAGGAGTAGCCAAATACTCTTCCTAAAAATAAATAATGACAAGCATATTGGAACAGCATGGAAAGAGAATCACTAAAGAGTTTTAACTATAAAAGCTTAAAATTTGAAATCTAATTTTTATTAAGTGTCATTATGACCAGCAAGTCTCAGTAGATATATCATGTATGATAGTGAAAAAAAACATTCAAACAATGTTGGAATCACTTCAGTAGCTCTTAAAAGGTCCTAAGTTAATACTTTTCTATAATATAGTCAACATACTTAACAAACAGCCTGCATTATTTAAATCTCATGTCCATTACAAAAAAAACATATTCCATTGAAATACTCTCATATCCTTTGGTATTCTATTACCTCACCATTAATTCAACACAGTCTTTGCTCTCCAACAGAAGTTTATATAGTCAAACCAATTAAGGGGCTGTATTGGCACATAATAGACTTGGATTAATATAATCATACAAACTGTATATATATAATAGATGAAGAGGGGAAAAAGCAAAGTAAGTTATAATAATTACCATCTATTAAATGATTATGTGTCATTCACTTTAAATGTATTATTCTCATTTAATCCTATCAGGTTAAGTATTCTCATATTCATTTTCAGAGGTGAGACCTGGAAAGGTTAAATAAATTGCCAAAGGTCACACCATTGCCAAAGCCAGATTTGAACACAGTGTAGCAGAGATCCAGCTATATTTCCCCCCACAAAGCTAACCATTTGTCTTAACATTTACTTCCCCAATTGATTGCAGTGCTACATTGGCTAGTTACTAAATTCCCATTTGTTTTTGTGGAAGACCCAATGTTAACACATTGTGCACCAGTAGTTTGATTGCTAGCTTTACCCAATGGCTAGATAAGTTTCTATTGAATGAGTACAAAATTTTTTTTTAGAAAGTATACTTTAAAAAGATATTAGCTTGTAAGAACATTTAATAAATAACTTCAAAATGCAATGGGTATTTAAAGTGTGCCTTTAACATTTATGTAAAACACTGTGTAATATGAAAACATGAGAATGCTTGTGATCCGCCCGCAATGTGTTAAGTAAGAAGAGCAAATTTACACAAGGCCAAGCGACTTGGAGTTGAGAGGACATGGGGTCTATTGTCTGCCCTGCAACTGTGACCTCACATGACAGTGTTCTAATTCCTACAGGTGGGGGTTAAATAAAGAGAAATCACATATTTTTTTATTTAAAAAAAGTGAACTCAGAAGGTAGGTGGGAGGCAAACAGTAATAATAAGCAAAATAAAAAATAGTACGCATATAGGTAAATCTATATAGGTTTTACTATATAAACAGTAATAATAATAACTTGTGGTAAAGAAACCACGTAAAACTAATATGCTAGACAATAAGAAAATGTATTACACAAGTGACATCTACATTAAGGCATTCTAAAATCTTAAAATTATAATATTGAAAAGAGGACACACCTATTGAAGGGTGCCACTAAAAGAGAATGTGTCACTTCTAAACCAGTAGAGAAAAGGGGAAAAGAGGAATAAAGAATATAAAGGCAACACTAAAGAGCACAGGGTGTTACGTGGAAAGTAAAAAAAAAAAAAAAAAAAAAAAAAAAAAAAAAAAAAAAAGCATGATACATGGAAAGAATAAATGAATCTAAATTTTTGAGTAATCATAATACAGACTAAACCAGATTGGCAAAAGACAAGATTAGACTATACCAAAAAAAAAAAAAAAAAAAGTGTAGCCCAGTGTGGCTCAGTGGTTGAGCACTGACCCATGAACCAGGAGGTCATGGCTTAATTCCAGGTCAGGGCAAGTGCCCAGGATGCAGGTTCGATCCCCACTGGGGGGCGTGTAAGAAGTGGCTGGTCAATAATTCTCTCTCATCATTGATGTTTTGATTCCCTCTCTCCCCCTCCTCTCTCTGAAATAAAAAATAATATTTTTTTAAAAATACATTACAATTTAAAAAACAAAAGCCCCACATTTCTGTACAAAGATAAACATATCTTGTATACTTGAAAAACAGTGAAAAATATTTTTGAGGATTTTAATCCGTAGTTCAAGTATACCATAATTATTGAGTTATATGATCAGCCAAGAGTTTATTTAATAATTTATATCAAGTTCAAAGCTACATTATTTTCAGCTTTCTTTTTCATTCCTCTCTAAAATGACTTAAGGATATACTAGGTGTACCAGTTAATAATGATAGATTCTGTAATCAAAGAAAACAAGATAATTCTAAGAGAAACATCAAAAGTGCTTTATTCAAAGTAATGTCCATCGCTAGCTACACATTTCCCCATCTTTCAGGTAATTTGTGGATATCGTCCCAATAGACCTTTTCTTGTTTTGAACCATTCACAGACCCAATTTTCCATTTCTTTGTATGTTTTAAAGTGCTGCTCAGAAAATGCGTGTGCCGTTGATTGGAAAAAGTGGTCATCTGAAGGAGCAAGGTCTGGTGAACACAGTGGGCGGGTTAATACTTTCCAGGCAAGATCTTTTAACGTGTCTTTAACTGGTTTTGAAGTGTTGTGATGGTGCATCATCATGAAACAAAATTACTTTGCCAGGTCTTCTGGCACATTCTGGTTGTTTCATGATCAAAACATGGTTCAAATTGATTATTTGTTGTCGGTAGCGATCAGTATTAATGGTTTCACCTAGTTTTAGAAGTTCATACTACACCACACCTTCCTGATCCCACCAAAGGAAAGTATTGTCTTCTTTCTGAAGCAATTTGGCCTTGCAATCGATGGATCAACCTCTGATTCTGTGGGTTTGGGATTCTCAAAATAAGTCCACTTTTCATTGCCAGTCACAATTTGATGTAAAAAAGACTTTTGGCCGAAACCGGTTTGGCTCAGTGGTGGAGCGTCGGTCTGCGGACTGAAGGGTCCCAGGTTCAATTCCGGTCAGGGGCATGTACCTTGGTTACGGGCGCATCCCCAGTGGGGGGTGTGCAAGAGGCAGCTGGTTGATGTTTCTCTCTCATCAACGTTTCTAGCTCTCTCTCTCCCTTCCTCTCTGTAAAAAATCAATAAAATATATTTTAAAAAGACTTTTGTGCCATTGAAGCAACATTTTACTGATGACTTTTCGGTTTTCCATTTGTCTTTGGTACAGTTGAATTGGCACCCATTTTCCTTCCTTTAAAATCTTTCCCATTGCTTGTAAATGATTGGAAATTGTTTGCTGAGCAATGTTTCATTTTCCTGCAAGTTGTTTTTGAGTTTGACATGCATCTCCATCCAATAATGCTTATAATTGTTGGTCTTCAAACTTTTTTGGTTGACCTGGACGTTCTGTCTTTTACATCAAAATCATCACTTTCAAAATGTTTAAACCAGCGTTCACAAGTATCTTGAGATGGAGGATGTTCACCATAAGCTCTCCGAAGTATTCTGCAGCACTTTTCTTCAAAATAATGAATTATAACTTCCTGCAAATGCTGTTTTTATTGGCATGAAAATCGACATTTTTAAGTGTAAAAATATCTATGATGTTAACACCTTCAGCAAATTTGACATATGAAATTTTGAAGCTTGTTGTCAAGACAACAAAATAGCATATGTATCAAATCACATACATATCAACATATGTGTAACTCCATCTATTGAAAAAAAATCCGCATTATTAATCAGTACACCTAGTAAACATGCTATTTATTGGATAGAGAAAAATTGTAATTTTTTACTTACATTTTCATTTTTCAAAATGAGTTTCAAGATTGCTTCTCTTTGTTTTAGAGCCTAAAACAGGATAATTTCCAGTTAGATTTTTTTTTTTAAAAAAAGGGGGATGAGGGGGAAATCAACTAGTTTTCCTAATATTTCTTCCCTGTAAATTACCTGACAATCCCTATAGGAAATGACAGAAACTCTGACAGAGGTCATGGAAACTACTGATTAAAACAAGATCTTGGTTGTCCTACCCAACTATATCTTCTTATTCTGAATCCCTACTGCCTAGCACAGTGTCTGGCAGGAAACATGCCCTTAAATATTTCTTGAGTAGCCGAAACCGGTTTGGCTCAGTGGTAGAGCGTCGGTCTGCGGACTGAAAGGTCCCGGGTTCGATTCCGGTCAAGGGCATGTACCTTGGTTGCGGGCACATCCCCGGTAGGGGGTGTGCAAGAGGCAGCTGGTCGATCTTTCTCTCTCATCGACGTTTCTAGCTCTCTATCTCTTTCCCTTCCTCTCTGTAAAAAAATCAATAAAAAATATATATTTAAAAATATATATATTTCTTGAGTAGATGACCTATGACTATCAATGACTTTCCTCTATTATTCTGTAAATCTCATTTTCTTCATTTAGAAAACTTCTGAAAACACCACTGCCATAAATTTTTACCAGTAACTGAAGAGATGGCAAGCAAAAACCCTTCCGTTCCTCCATTTCAACATATAACTTCCATTTTTATTAATTTACATGAATTTTTATTTAGTGATGATAGCACATTCGTTCATATGCCTGCATGCTCTCCCCCACGATGCATCTTACTATTATATCAGAGAATAAAAGTAGTATAAAATACCTTCTATATAGAAAGTATAAGTGCTTTTAAGAATCATTATAGCTGAACTCATCCCTATTCCCATAACCACTGAAAAAAAAAACAGACTTGAGGACAATAAATATAAAAACAAATTACCTGAAAAGCAAAAACAAACCCTGCTGTTTGTGTAATTCAAGGATGTTAAGTATGAGAGTTAACTTGGTGTGTCAGGTGATGTCCAAAAACTACTTTTTTTATTTTAAAATAAACATTTAACTTGGAGAGGAGTTTTAAGGTAAGGTTAATCATACACTTTGATGTCAGTTATGCAATTAAAAAAACTACCCTACCTATACTATTATAATAAAAGGGTAATATGCTAATTAGACTGGATAGTCCAGACATCTTCTGGACATCCTTCCTGACAAAGCCACAGTGACTGCGAGGGCTGAGGAAGGCCAGCAGCCATGGCAGCCAGCAGTGGCAGCAGCAGTGGGGTGTTGGGGGTGGCACCTTCCCCTGATCTGCCAGGTCACCTCCTACAGAGGGAGGCCAGACTGCAGCTTAGGCAGGGAGCAGGCCTAAGCCATCCGTGGACATCCCCTGAGGACTCCTGTAGTGTAAGAGGGGACAGGCCAGGCTGAGGAAACCACCCCCCACAACAGTGCACAAATTCTCGTGCACCAGGCCTCCAGTTCTCTATTAACAGAATGAAAAAGGGTTATAAAATACCAGTTTCTATAATATCGGTCTTCGAATTTATAACAAATTTGTAAATCTATTACGACTCATTTTGATAACTCACAAAATCAATATATTAGACTTATAACGTTAGCCCTGATCGGTATGGCTCAGTTGGTTGGAGCAACGTCCTGTGCATCTGAAGGTCTCAGATTTGATCCCCAGTCAGAGTGCCTACAGAAGCAACCGAATGATGTTTCTTTCTCTATCTTCTCCCCCCGCCCAACTAAGATAAAATATATATATAAATCTTAGGGGGGGGGGGGATTTAACTTTAGTAGAGTCTACTTTCCATGTTATGTATCCTATGTTCTATTCTACTGTATTCTTTATTTTCTACTGGACTACAAGTAGATATTCTATCAATATACTCTCTGTCTTCAAACCACTGAGGTAAACTAATTTTCAAAAAAAAAAAAAAGTTTGGATATCTAGCTAAGAAAATAAAACAGAAATTATGTGTGACATCCAAAGTTCATTAAACCTGGCAGCAATCTCATGATCTATTTTCCTTGATGCTCTAAGTACCCCAAAAGTCACAGCTAAACATGAGCTTCCACACATAAATTTCTTGCCTTTATTCATTTGGGCAGGAAAGCCTTCTCTTACTTCATAATTTCCTACCACCCTTCAATGCCCAGGTGGATTCTGTAAATTTTAATTCTTTATTATTATTATTTTTTTTTTTAGAGAGAGAGGGGAAAACATTGCTTTGTTATTCCACTTATCAATGCATGCATTGGTTACTTCTCATATGTGCCTTGATGGAGTATCAAAACCACAACCATGGAGTATCTGGATGATGATCTAACCCAGTGGCCGCCAACCTTTCAGACCTCATGAACCACTGGTTGGCGACTGTTGCCTAACTAAATGAGTTACTGGCCAGGGCTAAGTCTGCACATTTCATCAACTCCCCAGACAGAATTATTAGTATTCTTCATCATCTCAGGTCCTCACAGTTCTTTAAACATACCTGTGTATAGTACACTTTGCATTATTTATTTACCTGTCTAACTACTCTGCAACACAGAGTTCTTTGAAAACAGCAGCTATGTTTCATTCACCAGAGTCTTGCGGGGGTCTGACACATCTAAATGCTTAATGAATACTGGTCATACAAAGTAAGTGGTAGAGTCTCCTACATCAGGTTAAAAAAATTCTCTTCACTGATTTATCAGGTAAATTTCCTAAAAGAGTGGATAAAATTATGCATACGCTCAGAAGTACCAGAGGTTGTAGCCATAGCAAAGCAGAGTAAATTTATAGAGGCTATAACCATCAATCTTTAGGAGACAGGTTTATTGCCACATACAGATCTGCTAAGTTGCAGAATGTAAAGTGGAACAAAGATTATAAGTGAATTATTATTTACTTCAAAATTTAAAAGGAATAAAAGTTCCTCTGAATAGCTATACATGTAACATGCCGATTGCATAGTACATATCTTCTGTTACTAACAGTTGTTTTTCTTTGATCTAAATTCAGAGAAAATTCAGGTTCTGAGTATTCTGTGCAAAAATCAGAGTATCAATAAATTATTATCTACTTGAGGGTACTTCTTAACAAAAGAATGCTAGAAAGAATACAGTACTGCTCTAACTGGTTTGGCTCAGTAAATAGAGTGTCGGCCTGCAGATTGAAGAGTCCCAGGTTCGATTCTGGTCAAGGGCATGTACCTTGGTTGCAGACAAATCCCCAGTGGGGAGTATGCAGGAGGCAGCTGATAGATATTTCTCTCTCATCAATATTTCTAACTCTCTATCTCTCTCCCTTCCTCTTTGTAAAAAAGTTAATAAAAAATAAATATATATATAAAAAAAGAATATAGTACTGTTTCAACATGTTCCCATTAAGTTAAAGTCTAATATCTTAACTACTCATTAGCCATTAATCTTATCAAAGGAAAGCGCTTATAACAGCTGCTAATAATTAGTCAAATAAATCCCGGTTGTTATCCTGTCAGGACTTCTGAACAGAACAGTTCTTTAACCCCAACCCCTAAACCAAAACTACAATTTAGACTTTCGTATGTATCTTCCATGGATAACCTGCAACAGTCTAAAGAAAACCACTAAAGTATCTAGGCAAACTTAAGATAATTACACACATTGAGCAGAAGCAAGTCATATGGATCATAGGAAAGACAGAAAGAAAAGGAAAGCAAGACTAGAAAGAACAAAGAAACAATTATGTGGATTGTTGCCCTACCCTTCCCCTGCCTGTCAGAAATGTGTTATTTTTTAAAAATCATTCCTTTCTTGAAATCACAGGTAAAGACCTTTAGGAAGTGAATATTTAACTGTTCATATAATCAATCAAAAGCACCTACTGGCTGGTTGATATGAAATCTTGTAGGCATTCTTCTCATTATAGCCGAGTCAAGATCCTGAGGACGGTTAGTCGCTCCCATCACTATGACCTAAATATATAAAGAAAGCAAAGGTATTAAACCCACCAATAATAATGCTTTTAAGCCGGGACCGGTTTGGCTCAATGGATAGAGCATCGGCTTGGGGATTGTAGGGCCCCGGGTTTGATTCCGGTCAAGGGCATGTACCTTGGTTGCGGGCATATCCCCAGTAGGGGGTGTGCAAGAGGCAGCTGATCGATGACTCTCTCATTGATGTTTCTAACTCTCTATCTCTCTCCCTTCCTCTCTGTACAAAAATCAATAAAATATATTAAAAAAATAATAATGATAATGCTTTTAAGTTGTTATTAAAGAAGCTTAGAAAATATAGGAAATTAGTGGCATTTAAATTAAATATTCTGCAAGAAACCTGACATTAATCCAGTATGTATTACTCAAATATTTATACATACAAGTTGAAGTTATTCCTAAACAGATCAGGAGATAACAAAGCTGGTAAGATTTTTTTAAATTACTGTATTTATGAAATATGGTTACTCAATTGCTACATGTTGAATAACAAAAAGCCATTTATGTTAAAGCCATTTATATTATAGGAGTATATAGGGGATATTAATAGTAATATTATGGAAAGAATTGTTTCCCCTAAGTCTAAGTATACTGGTAAAAGTAACATTTTCCTCTATATTTCACATCATTATCTCATGGCATATGTAAGCACTACAGGTGACAGCTTTTCAATACTAGTAATACCTCAAACAATTCAACCTTAAACAAGGGCAACAGATGCCGAAGCCGGTTTGGCTCAGTGGAAGAGAGTCGGCCTGGGGACTGAAGGGTCCCGGGTTCGATTCCGGTCAAGGGCATGTACATTGGTTGTGGGCACATCCCCAGTGGGGGGGTGTGCAGGAGGCAGCTGGTCAATGTTTCTCTCTCATTGACATTTCTAACTCTCTATCCCTCTCAATTCCTCTCTGTATAAAATCAATAAAATATATTTTTAAAAAAACAAGGGCAACAGAATAAAAGTAAATATCAAAATTCTGGGTAGGATTTTTAAAAAAGATTTTTATTGATTTCAGAGAGGGAGAGGGATATAGAGATAGAAACTTCAATGATGAGAGAGAATCATTGATTGGCTGACTTCTGCCCGCCCTCTACTGGGGTTGGGGGTGATGGAACCGGAAACCCAAGTATGTGTCGTTGGCTGGAATCAAACCTGGGGACCCTTTAGTCCACAGGTCAATGCTCTATCCACTGAGCCAAACCAGCTAGGGCCTGGGTAGAATTTTTTTTTAAAATGCTGGTGGCCCTGCCAACTTCTGGGTCAATGTCATTAATTTAAAAAAGATGTCGAGGTGAAAAATCAACATGAATAAAGACAAAGATATATAAATGTTCGTTTCTGAAGGCTTCAACATTACCAATACTGTTGATATTTCTGTATAATCTAACAACAGCACACATTAGCTATCCAAAATGAAATTTACTGGTATTTTAATGGCAAGTTTTATTTAATATTATTTTATTTCAGCCTAAGAGGTTTTAGATTTCTGAAATAATTACAAATCTATCTCCAGAACATGTTGAAAAATCCATTAAATCTTATATTTTACATTTAATTATATTTAAGAGCCAAATTACTTTCAATTAACTGTGAGAGGTTGCCACCTAGAGGGGAAAAATATAAGTACAAATACAAATTTGAGAAATGTTAGTTCTACAATGCAATATTGCATTTGGGTTAAGAGGTCTTAAAAAAACAAAATATTAATGCTCTTATTTTGTGGTTTGTTTTTACTGCCTATCTACAATTCTATAAATTAATAAGAAAGGTAAATTTTTTACTACATGTAAAACAAAAAAAAGTCTTGGAGTGATCAAAAAAACTAATTGCACAAGATAGAGGATGAATATAAGAAAGTACATTTTGAGATACAGTATTAAGTATCTCAAATACTTGAAAGAGAGATATGAAACAAAAAACCCCATAGAAGATGGAATGCTAAAAATTTGGATCAAGGAATCCAAATAAACCTAAAATAACATGACTAATAAATACCTATAAAATAGTAACAAATATTCATGATGAAAAAGCAAGAGTGAATGAAACCACTTTTAGTTTCACTTTAAGCAGCAAATTTTAAGGAGCAATTTTAAGCATCAAAAACTGGTAGAGAACCTTTATACTTACCTTTATATATTGTAAATGAACTAAAATAAAAAATGACAAACAACAGTAATTTTTTAGCATTTAAGCAACAAAATTAATGCACCTTTAGGTATTTAGTTAAGACTTTTAAAAATCTTTAAGGCAAAATAGCAAGATAAATTTTTTATCATTTCACATTTAAAATAATCAGATCTAAATTTATGCCTCAAAACTTTAGGTCAATGACTATCCTCAAAACACTGTGGTCTTTTATGTCTCATGTCTCTCAAGATGAAGACATCATTAGTTAACTTGGATTTCTGGTAGTGGTGACAAGTTTAATGGTGTCATTCTTCTATTTTTGTTTCATTTGTGGCCATATCTGACTTATAAAAAGCTATGTGAGATATTCAATTCCATCCATAGTCATAGAACAGACAATTTTAGAGAAAAACTAACTGTTTCAGATAAGAGTATGTTTAAAATTGTTATTCAAATTAATATCAATTTTAATGCTCTCAACACTAAAAAGGTTAAATAAAATGTTCCTGGGGTTAAATAAAAAAGAACATCCTTATTTGCTCCCTCAAATAAAAATCTGGCATAAGGAAAACAGTAAGCACTATTAGCGTGGTAAGAAATCCTGGTTCTGAAAACTGTTTCAGTTGTGCTATATCAGAACCAGGCTGTGGAGCTCTGAAGTGCATCTGGAGTATAAAATTCATCCAATTATCACTCTTTCCATGGCTTTTGAAACTATAATATGATAGGATAAAATATGATAGTAAGCTACTTCCTCTTACATGGTCTAACTTACTCAATTGTCTAAGTACTTTAAATTCTGTTGCTTAGGAGAATACTAGTTTGGAAACCTGTAAATTACTTCCATTGAAGAGTTTTATCAGAAACAATTATTAATAAAAATGGTGCCAAACCGGTTTGGCTCAGTGGATAGAGCATTGGCCTGCGGACTGAAAGGTCCCAGGTTTGATTCCGGTAGGGGGCATGTACCTTGGTTGCCGGCACATCCCCAGTGGGGGGTGGGCAGGAGGCAGCTGATCAATGTTTCCCTCTCATTGATGTTTCTCTCTATCCCTCTCTCTTCCTCTCCATAAAAAAATCAATAAAATACATATATATTTTTTAAAAAATGGTTTCTGTTACTGTCACTTAAATTCACCTGTTGTGTTTTCTCTTTCTTTTGATTTATGGTAACATGGTGGATAAAGGAGATCCTTTACCCCTCTGTTTACAAAACATACATAAATAATAAAGTATTTACAAAACTCAGATAAATTAATCGACAAATTGCAAAAAAAAAAAAAAAAAAGCTAAAGAAATTAGGCTGAGGCCAGTAGTGAAGACAGTACAGTAGTGAGTTAAGCAAGGGTAAAAACAGACCCAGAACCACCAGTCATTTCCTCTTTCTTAACATCATGATCCTAAAAATTCCAAGGAGAGGCTTCACCTGGGATTTTTCTCTTCAACACTGCAACTTTAAGGCACATTTCTTCAAATACCTGGCAACTGTGATCAGTATCCAATCCATCCCAGAGACTCATAAACTGAGCTTTCATCATGGCTGTAGCTTCGTGATCAGAACTTGAACGGTTTCGTAGAAAGGAGTCTAGAAAGAAAAGGTCCTGAGTGTTAGAAATTAACTATTATTTACTCTTTATATAATCTCAAATCATTTAACCAAAAGCTAATAACTTCCTGGAAGATTACAAGAAAAGGGATTACTATGCTTTTTCACACATTATTCTGATATAACAATTTTGGCAAATTATTGGACAAACTAAAAAATACACAATCAATTCACAACCTTCATTTATTTCCTTAAAATACATTTATGCTAACATATATAAAAGAAGTAAAGGATCTGGTACTGAGAGACTAGAAAAAGATCAAGTAGTGTCTTAAGAGAAAAATCTGTGTAGTTTGGCCATAAATTTCCAGATTATCTGTAACCTTTATGCTTTTAATTATGGAGTCACAGCCTTTTCCTGGTAATAAATAAAATGACATTAGAAAATGTCAAAACACTATTAAGTGGTAAAATGAAGGACAGAAAATGGTTTAAACCACACAAGCTAGCACACATGTATATGATGTTATACATGGTAAAAAATTAAACAAAATGCAAGTATCTTTGGTTATTGCTCAGTGAAATACTTAAGGACAACTTTAATTTCCTGTTTTGAATTATTTTGTCTTCCAAATTATCTACAGTGAACATGAAATGTTCATTTTTTAAAGAAGCGGAAAAGCATTTTCCTCCTAGAATGAAAAAACTAAAAGGTCATACATCCTAAGAATAAACAAGACATTAAAAGTAAATCCTGGATTTTCTTATACAGTTCCAATTTTGCATAATCTATCCATTGTTGGACGATGTATCAAACTAGCTCACAAAAAACAAAACAAACAAACAAAAAAAAAACCAATGATAAAGAAAATCTAATCATTTAAAGTTATTTATTTTTTAAAGTAAAATTTATTTTTTAAAGTTAAATTGTTTAAGTTCAGCTGCCTACTTAACTACCACTGTGTGGTGCTTACAAGAGACATACTTAAATATAAGGGCTCAGAATGGTGAAAAGGATGGCAAAAGACATATGTAAATACTATTTAAAAAGTTGGATAAAGTATTTTTGTAAAAACTTAATGCATATCTGATAAATGTTGCTACAATATTTTTTACATGCTTAAAAAAAAGATCTAGAAACAAACCTTATACCTTTCATAAAAATTAAATGCATCACAGATCTAAGTGTAAAACACAATACTATAAATCTAGAATACAGGAGAAATCTATACAAGGCATGATGATAAGTTTTCACATACAACACCAAAAACAATCCATCAAAGAAAAAATAGTGAAGTTGGAATCTATTAAAATTAAAAATTTTTCCTTGTGGGAGACACTGTTAAGAGAAAAGCCAAAGTACAGACTGGGGGAAAGTATTTACAAAACATATATTTGACAAAATATACAATAAACACTTAAAATTCAAAAACAGAAAAAAACCAAAAATATCTCATCAGATACCCACCTCACCAGAGAGGAGATACAGATGGCAAATAAGCATATGAAAAGATGCTCAATAACATGTCATTAAGGAAATGCAAATTAATATAACAATAAGACACCGCTACAAACTTATTAGAATAGCTAAAATAAATAAAACTTATAATAAAATCCAATAAACTGCTGAAGAAGATGCAGAACAACAGATTATTTTTATTTATTGCTGAAGAAACTGCAAAATGGTACAGCCACTTTGGAAGATAGTTTGGTAGTTTCCTACAAAGCTAAATATAGTTTTACCATAAATTCCAGCAATGATAATGAACATCAACTGTAGATGGCTGCCTGGGTGGACACATGGGCATTTTCTTTAATTATTGTCAGCTGAACTCAGGGTGTAGGCAGAGCCACGCCCTGGGAACATGCTTCCCCAATAAGGCTGGACATGTTAATCATTTCTGACTTCATAGCAGCCCAGGTGTCGGCAGGGGTGGGAGTAGATATGTAAATCTAGGCCTATAAAAATAAATGCGCTGTGTGGCTCGGGTCTTTGCTGCAGCCCCTCAATCAGAGAGGAAGGAGGGCGTCCCACCTAGCTCCCAGCTTTAAATCTATTTCTGCATCTTCTTTCCTTCTTTCTATTATTTCTCAATCCCTGGCCTCCTCCACTTAGAACCGGTTTGTTCATCTCTTTTTCCGCTCTGGACACGGAAAAGGGAGATCCCTGCCATGTTTGGCCCCTGTCGCATCAGGCCCCTACAATCAAGAAGAAACCAAAAAACCCTAGCTGGTTTGGCTCAGTGGATAGAGCGTCAGCCTGTGGACTGAAGGGTCCCAGGTTCAATTCCGGTCAAGGGCACATGCTTAGGTTGCAGGCTTGATCCCGTGTTGGTGTGCAGGAGGCAACCGGTCAATGGTTCTCTCTCATCACTGATATGTCTATCTCTCTCTCCGTCTCCCATCCTTTCTGAGATCAATAAAAATATAATTTAAAAAAAATCACCCCATAAATCCAATAATTAATTTACAAGGGAAGAAATCCAAATGACTTATCAACATGTTAAAAGATGCCCAAATTTAACAGTAAGCTGGAAAATTCAAATTAAAACAATAATGAGATAATTTATGTTATTTAAGTTGGCAAAAAGTAATGATATCTGACAAAAAAATTTTTAGGGAGTATCTAGGGATACAAACTACAGAAAAATGAAAACAGGTATAACCACTTTGAAGAACTGGTCATCTTCATGCGGTTGAAGATAAACACAGCACACAGCCTAATGGTTCAACTACTTGCTATCTACCCTGGACAAACATATGTGCTTAAGGAACATGTACATAGATGTCTACTGCATTCTGTCTGTAAGAGAGAAAACGCAGAAAAAGCTATCCAGTAGGATAATGAACAGACGCATTCTGCAACACAGAAAAATATGCATAGCATAATAAGATAGTTATCGCTTTTGCTTTTAATAATTTGGCCTAAAAATTGTCAAAAACTCAATTTGGCCCAGCTGGCATGGCTCAGTGGTTGAGCATCAACCTTTGAACCAGATCATCACGGTTCGATACCAGTCAGGGTGCATGCTTGGATTCAATACCCAATGGGAGGAAGGGGGGTGTGTAAAAGGCAGCTGATCACCGATTCTCTCTCATCACTGAAGTTTTTATCTTCCCCTTCCTTCATCACTGAAATCAATAAAAATATATTGGAAAAAAACCCACAAAAACAAAACTCAATTTGGTCATCTAAATACCAACCTTAAATATGGCATTTTAAAATGCTCCCATAGAAAACATAGCATACCTATTTCATCTATAAAGATGATGGAAGGCTGTAGCTTTATGGCAAGAGAAAAAACTGCAGCAGCTAATTTCTGAGATTCTCCATACCACTTATCTGTCAGTGTTGAAGGCTGAAGGTTAATAAATCGACAGCCTGCTTCTTTGGCTGTAGCCTTGGCAATCAACGTTTTACCACAGCCTGGAGGCCCATAGAGAAGAACACCTGGAAATAAACATGTATTTTTATTATTTCCTTTAAGAGAACAGGATACTTGCTTTAGTTTGTGATAATCAACATAATATTAATTCTAGCCAAAGTAAAATTTTTCCCAACATCCACTTGTTTTTATTCATATTTTTAATAGTAGAAAAAGAAGAGGCCATATTCTATATTCAATATCAGTGATGACAAGTATTTTGGATTATAGCATCTTGTGCCTCCTCTCTTCAATAAAAATGTCCAGCCAGGTAATGTTCACTTTTTTGACCTGGGTGATAATTACATAAGTGTTAGCGTTATAATTACTCATTCAACTATTTTATCCCCATTTTCCTTATATATGTTACATTCCACTAATCATATTTTCTCATCTGGCATGTTATCAGTGATTCTAGCAGTATTATTTAAAGGGGGCATTTTTTTCTGCCTGCTGGTATGGCTCAGTAGATGAGTGTAGACCTATGAACCAGGAGGTCACGGTTCAATTCCAGGTCAGGGCACATGCCTGGGTTGCAGGCCCAATTTCCAATAGGCATTACATTTAAGGATGCAGTTATAAGTCCCCTACTAGGGATGGAGCCCATAATGCAGGCATGTAAACTGACTAGGAATTGAATGATAACCTCCTGGTTCTTAAGTTCCAAGACTTTCAAAGTAATTACTAACAAAGGACAAGGAAACATTTCCCTTAAAAATAAGATGTATTTAATAATTAAGTGGAAATAATTAAAAGGGAAAAAGTCACTAGAATTGTGAAACAACAAAAAAGAAATCTTATTGTACACTTGAAGCCTATATAATTTTATTAACCAAGGTTGCTCCAATAAATTTAATTTTTTTAAAAAGTCTTATCTTGAAAACAAAGCAAAACAAAAACACCACATTATGACTTTGGATTTTTTTTTTTAACCTTGATTTTCCCAATTACCATTTATTTGGAAATAATAAATGAGTTTGAAATAAAAGGCCCTGACTGGTTTGGCTCAGTGGATAGAGTGTTGGCCTGCACACTGAGGGTTCCCAGATTCAATTCCAGTCAGATGCATGTGCCTGGGTTGTGGGCTCATCCCCAGTAGGGGGTATGAAGGAGGCAGCTGATCAATGTTTCTCTCTCATCGATGTTTCTAACTCTCTCTCCCTTCCTCTCTGTAAAAAAATCAATAAAATATATATATTTTTAAAGAAATAAAAGTATCGCAGAAACCGGTTTGGCTCAGCGATAGAGCGTCGGTCTGCGAACTGAAGGGTCCCAGGTTCGATTCCGGTCAAGGGCATGTACATTGGTTGCGGGCACATCCCCGGTAGGGGGTGTGCAAGAGGCAGCTGGTCGATGTTGCTCTCTCATAGATGTTTCTAGCTCTCTATCTCTCTCCCTTCCTCTCTGTAAGAAAAGTCAATAAAATATATATTTTTTTAAAAAGAATAAAAGTATATTTTGCAATGTTAACGTCATCTAAATTTGGGAAACTAAAGAATGAGCAATTAATATCAGAAACCTATTCACACTGTTGTTAGTCATTCAATCCCAATTCATCACTCTGAATCCAACAATGGAGCAGTTAGAGAAGCTGCATCAGACCTACATGGAGGAGTTAAGGAAATTACCTGAGAGCACAAAGGGAAGTATGTTATCCCAGAGTTCTAATCTTTAAATAACTGTACTCTAGGAGAATGAGAGAACATCCCACTAAGAGAATAAATGTGTTAAATACATTAAGAAAAACACACACAAAAAGAATGAGCAATTAAGAGAGAAACCAAGATGGTGGCATAGGTAAACACCTAAACTGCTGCCTCGCACAACAATTTCAAAACTACAACTAAAAGACAAAACGTCTATCATCCAGAACCACAGGAAAGCTGGCTGAGTGGAAGTTCTACAACTAGAAGGAAAGAGAAAAAGATCATTGAGATGTGCCCAAGCACTGAAAAGCTGAGGTACCAAGGCGCACGAATTGGGCTGGCGGCAGGTGACTAGGTGGGTGCACTGCTTTTTTCAACCTGAAGGGAGACAAGCTCCTGATTACTCTGAACTCGTTTCGGGGGAGACGCTGGGGACCCAAACTCCTACGGGAAGAAGCTGGACTGTCTGCCATCGGGTCGAAAAGTGAAGGCGGCTTTCTTGCAGAGGTGTGCACAGGAATAATTGTTTTCTGCGCTGGGGCATGGGATGCAGGGACTTGGAAACATGGAAATGCAGAGATGGTTGACTAGCAGCCATCGCTGTTTGCTACGCTCTAGCCTAGTGACAATCTACAAACCCACCCAAACTCCATGCAGTGGCTTTTGCATATAAATAACCTACCCTATCACAGCTTAATCTAACTAACTGCAGCTCTGGTCAGACAGCTACAAAACCTCCAGACCCGAGCAAAGAGGAGAAAACTATACTTCTCACTGTAACTCCTGCTGGGTGGCTTCATACAGTAGCTGACCTGCACCCCATTGGAGATCCAGAAGCTAGAGTATCTAGTGGTCAGTATGAGATGACACCAGATTTCAACTACTCACATCCTTAAGTGACACATTCAAGAGGCAGACTCAGTGAGCACCAAAGCCCCACTGAAACAAGTCCTGCCCCATAAGCATGTCTCCAGCACAGCAGTTCTTCCATTATAGACACAGTGGGTCCTCACAGCCAATTGGCCTGGAGGTCAATTCCTCCCAGTGACACCAACAACAATCAAGACTTAAGTACAACAAGGCTGTACACACAGACCACAAAGGGGTACACCAAGAGTGTCCACCTCAGATAACTGGGAGGCCGACCCACTGGGCCATATAGGACACCTAGTATACAAAGCCACCCTACCAAGCAGGGAAGCAGCGAAAATGCAGAAACAAAGAAACAGAACACAAACAAAAGAAATGGAGGAAAACAAACGACTGGATATAGAGTTCAAAACCACGGTTATAAGGTTTTTCAAGAACTGGGATGAGTGTCCTATGGATGAGGACAGTGGGGGGGAGGTAAGGGCAGGGGTAGGGTGGGAACCAGGTGAAGGGGAGCTATGGGGGCAAAAAAGAGGAAGAATTATAATAATTTGAACAGATTTATTAAATTAAAACACACACACACACACAGAATGAGCAATTATATGAAAACTTAGTTTACTGGATCTCAGCATTCTCTCAAAATATCTAACTTCAAATCCACCAATTCTGTAATGACAAAGTTTCAATGGTTCTAAGATTTTTAATGCTGTAGCAAATATACTTTACCTTTCGGAGGCTGCAGAAGCCTAGAATTTTCAAACAAATGCTTCTTTTTGATAGGTAAGATGACAGTGTCTTTCAGATCCGTAATGACATCATCTAAACCAGCTATATCACTCCAAGTAACCTGGTAAAAAGTAAGGTCAACATGAATCTTACAACTGATGTTTACTCACCTAAGTAAAAAAAAAATTCCACCAGCGCTAGCTGATTTGGCTCAGTGGATAGTGTTGTTGGCCTGCGGACCAAAAGGTCCCTGGTTCAATTCCAGTAAAGCACACATGGCCAGGTTGTGGGTTCGATCCCCAAAAAGGGACATGCAGGAGGCAGCCAATCAATGATTGATTTTTTTTCTCTCATCATTGATTTTTCTCTCTCCCTCTCCCTTCCTCTCTATGAAATCAATAAAAATATATATTTTTTAAAATTTCCCCCAAATTGCCGAAACCGGTTTGGCTCAGTGGTAGAGCGTCAGTCTGCGGACTGAAAGGTCCCAGGTTTGATTCCGGTCAAGGGCATGTACACTGGTTGCGGGCACATCCCCAGTGGGGGGGGTGGGGGGGGGTGGTGGCAAGAGGCAGCTGATCGATGTTTCTCTCTCATTGACATTTCTAGCTCTCTCTCTCCCTTCCTCTCTGTAAAAAATCAATAAAATATATAATAATAATAAAAAAATTTCCCCCAAATGGCAACATTTATTCTGATAATTACACATAAATAATAAAAGATTAAAATTACATATTAATGAGAGTAAAGACATTTCGTAGTAATAATGAAATTAAAGTACTGTGACACTGCAAAAAGGAATTTAATACCCAACTACCTACTATTAAAAAAAACAGCCGGGACCGGTTTGGCTCAGTGGATAGAGCGACGGCCTGCGGACTGAAAGGTCCCGGTTTCGATTCCGGTCAGGGGCATGTACCTTGGTTGCAGGCGCATCCCCAGTGGGAGGTGTGCAAGAGGCAGCTGATCGATGATTCTCTCTCATTGATGTTTCTAACTCTCTATCCCTCTCTCTTCCTCTCTGTGAAAAATCAATAAAATATATTTAAAAACAAACAAACAAACAAACAAAAACAACAACACTAACTCTGGCACTCAAAACTCTGCAAGGACTTTAAAAGCTGAATTCACCCTGCCGAGAAGACTGACAATCAGCTCAGTTAATTCAGCATTGTTGATCCGGAAGAGCTCACCAGAAGTGTACCTAATTCATATACTAATATGATGCTGTCAAGCATAATAGGAGTGAATTTTAGAAAAAAGGCTTATACCACCCAAATGGACTTCTGAATTTTATTAACTGAAAGTAAAATAGTATTAAAACTTATCTTTATAAATAGTAAATAGTGGACAAATACTTTCAAAATAGACACAGTTTGCCCAGACAGCATGGATCAGTCTGTGAGTACCACTATGCTGAATGCTGTGATTCCTCCTACAGAATCATCAGACCTGGTATGGCCTTTGGGACCACTGACACAAATTCTAGACCCCCCCAAAAATATTAAATAAAATTAAAGGTACATACATGCATGTTAAGAGGATCTACAAGATGAGCAGCAATACTCATTTCATATTCTGAAAGCTTCACATTTTTCACACCAATTTGCTTCATTAACTTCTCCGCCTGGGGGGAAAAGAGGGACAAGCAACCTTTAGTTTGATATTTAGACACTGGCACTTCAAAAGAGGCATCTGTGAAATATAAAAGGCAATAAACAGATACACAAGACTTTTCCAGGAATATTCTAGGCCCCTTGACCTCATCCTGGCCTGTTGTAAGTCCTTAGGTAAAGAAAAATTTGAGGGTCTACTCCACAGAAACAAGAACAATTTAAACCAGCTTGTGAAAAATGAGGGGAAATGAGAAAATAGAATACATAATTAAAGATATATATACAGGGCCTCACACTGCTTCAATAAAACTCTAAGGTCCAACTTGACATCTCTTTCCTAGTAGGATGATCATGATAAGTACACATGAAACCTCAAGATGAAAGACTGAGGAATTAAGAATATCAAAAAAACTGGAATTTATTTAAATTAACAGAATATCTAAAAACAGGTACCTAACTTCCTTCAAAATACTCAAGTATCGACAATGGGTGTTCAAATCTATCTAATTTCAAACTGTTCTGAGATGCTCTCCCATAATGTCAATTCCTGATGGTAGGTAACCAGTTAAACATTTACTGAGTGTGCCAAATATTATGTCAAAATACCATAAGTAGATTAACTCATTGAATCCTCAGAGTGAGCCTATAGGATAGACACAATTTTTCCCCATAATGGAAAGAGAAACTGAAATTTAGCTCAGACTAAGTAATTGTCTTAGATTAAAAGTGAGTCAATGAAAGAGGCAATATACCACCGAAGTCGGTTTGGCTCAGTGGTAGAGCGTCGGTCTGCGGACTGAAGGGTCCCAGGTTCGATTCCGGTCAGGGGCATGTACATTGGTTGCGGGCACATCCCCGGTAGGGGGTGTGCAGGAGGCAGCTGGTTGATGTTTCTCTCTCATCGACGTTTCTAACTCTCTATCTCTCTCCCTTCCTCTCTGTAAGAAAAATCAATAAAATATATTAAAAAAAAAAAAAGAGGCAATATACCAATCCTGGCAGTCCAACACTAGAACACATACTCTAACCACCAAACATATTACCTTGGTTTCCCCAATTATATGATAAAAGTTTATGATCACTAAGGAGTCTTAAATAATCTATAAATAATATTCAAATTTCAAGTAAGTTAACATTTTTAGAAATGAAGGTGCTCTGCTAAGTCATGAATTTACCAAAATTTTTGTTACATTTTCCTAAAATACTTGTGATTATATAAAATCTTGATGTTTGTCAGGGGTATTGCTGTTCTACAAGGAAATCCAAATCACACAGCATTCTAGTTATAGAGTGGTTAAAGGATTAGTATAAATGTGTGTTGATCATGTCATGGTAATAACACACTCTTTAAAAGTGCTATGAATCGCCGAAACAGATTTGGCTCAGTGGTAGAGCGTCGGTCTGTGGACTGAAAGGTCCCGGGTTCGATTCCAGTCAAGGGCATGTACCTTGGTTGCGGGCACATCCCCGGTAGGGGATGTGCAAGAGGCAACTGGTGGTTGTTTCTCTCATCAATGTTTCTAGCTCTCTATCTCTCTCCCTTCCTCTCTGTAAAAAATCAATAAAATATATTTTAAAAAAATAAAAAAATAAAAAAAATAAAAGTGCTATGAATCAATGTGCTTCAGAGAAACCAAAATGGCGGCATAGGTAAACACCTGAACTACTGCCTAGCACAACAACTTCAAAACTACAACTAAAAGACAAAATGGACATCATCCAGAACCACAGGAAGGCTGGCAGAGTGGAAATTCTACAACTAGAAGGAAAGAGAAAAGCACAGAGACTCAGAGGAGCTGCGGAAGTACAGAGGTATGGAGGATCGAAAAGGACCAGTGAACATTCCTGGATCTAACACAGAGGAGAGTGAACCGATTAACTTTTTAATCCTTGTTTTTGGATGATATTTTCTGGCAAAATTTGACAGAGAAAACCAACCTCCAGGCCCACCAATTGCATTTAGCAAAGCCCAACTCCTACATACAATGCTAACAATTTCAAGGATGCCACAATGGAAGAAATGAAGGCTTTTCTTAGACTGAGGATTTATATGGAATACTTATGTATAAAGCCGAGCTATCAGGATTATTGGACAAATGAAGGCTCTGACTTTGTTGGGTTTACTCCCGGATTTCAAAATGTTATAACTCGAGACAGATTTTGGCCCTTTGGAGTTTTTTACACATAATTGATATTGATAAGAGAGATAGAATATATGAAGTTAGGCCTTTCTTAGAAGTCTGCTCCCCAAGTTTCTCCACTTCTATCTGCCAAAGCAACATTTGAGCCTAGATGAGGGGATGATCCCGACAAAAAACCGTTTGGCCATAAAGCAGTATACCAAGGATAAGCCCACCAAGTGGGGCATCAAGTCTTTCCTTCTCTGTGAAGGTGAGACTGGCTACAGTTTTAATGCAGAAATCTACACTGGTGCTGCATCAATGCCTATAAAAGACTTGGGCGCAGTAGGAAATATAGTCATTCGTCTCCAGACCTCATGTGCAATGGAAAATAAATCTCATGTGCTTGTCATGGACCAGTTCTACAACTCTGTAACCCTTGCTAAATGTGCACTGTCAGAATTGCACATAGGAATTGTGGGAACCCTGCAGCAAAACAGGAAGCAGTTCCCTAAGTCGCTGAAAAGTGTAAAAAAAAAGTTACTAGGGGTGACAGTCGCTATCTATGTCCATAAGTGTAACATGTTTAGTTTGGCAGGATGGAAAACCCATCACATTTATTTTGAATTATCACAATCCAGCCCAAAATGTAGTAATAAACAGAAGAAATGCAGATGCCACAGCTAGTGAAGGACTATAATAAATATATAGATGGCTGTGACAAAAATGACCAGATGACCCGCCTTCGCTGGTCTCGTCGTCATTACCACTGGCCCTGGCGGCTTTTCATAAAAATTTTATATAGGCTAGTTATAATTCTTATATCTTGTACACTTCAAAGCAGCAAGCCACTTCAAAAAAAAGCTAATTTATTTCACCATATATATTCAAAAACTGTGCCTGAAACTTATTTGTGAATACAGGACATCAGCCCACCACCACCCACAAAAGGAACCCTGCCCTCAACGGATGAACCCAGGCAATCATTTCCCTGAGATTCCCCCTGGAACATCGTCTAATCATATCTGTGTTGTGTGCATGGAAAAGCACTCCAGGTACAACAAGCAAAATCCTGGAGTGTCTTACAAAGACAATCCATACAAAAAGGTGAAGAGCAACATCTGGTGCTCACTTTGTAAGAAGTACCTCTGTGTGAGACGAGGCTCATCCTGCTGGTGGAATATTGGCGCTGGATGAAAGGCAGACCTATTTTCTACAATGTCTCCAAGTTCCATCTTATTCTAAACACTTGTTTCCATGTACCTAACATTTTTCTATATCATGTTGATTTTTTTCTCTATAATGCTCAGGAGCCCAGGTATAGAGGACAGTTAGGTCTGGTAGAGTTAATGTTTAGATTTTACTTTTATTATAGTAGCTTAAAAAACAAAAAAGGGTGAGATGTATAGGGCCCCTGGGAAGGCAAATGGACATTTCTTTAAATTGTCAGCTGAGTCCAAGGCATTGGCAGAGTCATGTCCCCGTTACACCCAAGAAGGTGGGGGTGTTATTCAGTTCTGGTGTCGGCAGGGGTGGGTCTAGATATGTAAATCCAGTAATGCTAGGGCTTACTTAAGAATGCAAATAAGCTGCTTTGATCCTATAAAATAAACCTGCTGCATGGCTCAGGTGCTCGCTGCCTCTCCATCATAGAGAATGGCGGTCCACCTAGCTCCCAGCTTTATAAATCTATTTCTACATCTTGCTCTCTTTCTTTCTTTAATTTCTTAATCCCCAGCTCCTCCACTCAGCAACCGGACTGTTTCCTTTTCTGTGATGGACGCGGAAAAGAGAGAAAACCTCTACAGCAGGCAGAAGCGGTTGGGGCAATCAGGAAGGCAGGCAGGCAAGTAGTTGGGAGCCAGTAGTCCTGGATTGTGAGGGATGTCCCCGATTGGAGAGGGTGCAGACTGGGCTGAGGGACACCCTCCCCCGTGTACAAATATTGTGCACCCGGCCTCTAGCATACAATAAACAGTAATTATAAAAGTATAGTTTTCACTGATTTAAGAGCTATGCATAGCATTGTGAAACAGTAATTTCTTTGCATCCCATTTTCTCATACCAGCCTACGGCATTTGAAAGAACAAGATTTATTCATCTTTTATCCTTGGCACCAAGCATTTGCTAGAAGCTCAATAAAGATTTATTGAATGCAATGGGGTCAAAATTCATGGAAGAAATCTAAAAATTCATAAATAAAACATCTTGCCCGCAAGCAGCAAGAAAAATTTGAAAGACTCCTTGAAGGTTTTGTTTTTTAAAGAAAAACAGGAACCAAAACAAATATATCATCATAATGAGAAAAGGACCACAAAGGCAATAGGTGAAAAATAAAATTATAACTTATATTAACATTTTTAAAGCAATTCTTTAATTAGAAATTAGTGTAGTTTATAAATTTATGACTGAATACTTGTCAGTATTCTCCACATTTCAAATGTCAAACAAAGCAAAATACACCTTATTAAAGATAAATTTTGTTTAACCTGTTATGTTTACATAGATTCCTTCGGAAATAAATAGCTGATATAAAATAATATAATGAGAATGTTCAAAACCAAATGCTATATTTTTATTCTTAATTTTTTATTCTTAAAAAATTCGTAATTTTCTGTTCAAAAGTTGCTTATATATCAAAAAGTATTGGAGAAAATTATTTTTAGGAATAACGAAATATGACAAAAACATTTTAATGTAAATCTTACAGAATTTTTCTTTAACTTATAATTCTACTACATCCTTAGCCTTATGGAAAAATATTTGTTAACTACCAGAAAAATGATCCTCAAATATTTTACTCATACCTGTTTCTGAGCTTCTACTTTTTGCTTTCTGGTGGGATCAATTGCATCTACCATCCATTTGATTGTAAAGTATGTTACTGCACCAAATATTGTCAAACGGAAAATTAATCCAACAACTTCATTCCGACTCAAGGGACGAGAAAAGGCTTCAGCATGTACCATCTTGACAGTTAACCCTAAAAAAAAAATAGAAATTTCAATAAATAATAACTAGTCATAAAAAGCGGGATGCTGGTAAGAACCTTATATTGAGCAACAAGAACTGCTAGTCAAATACAACATTACTGTCTTTAAAAAGTGTTTTATTTTGAGGAGAAATGGATTTTTAAATATTAGGTAAACACACACACTTTAAGCTCCCCTTGGAAACTAAAGGGACGAATTAGAAACTGAGGTTAATTTACTTGAATTTTTAATGAACTTCCCTAAAAGCTTATATAATTTAAGTAGAGAATAATTATACTTGAAAAATACAATAAATATCTTAAGGTACTTATTTATTCTTCAAACAGCTTTAAAATAACTATAATTTCAGAGTCTAGGAAAATAATGACTATAACACTAATCTACTATAGAAAGGCAGCACAAAAATGAAATACTTTAATGTGAGAATTTCTTCCATTAAGTATAATGTAAATCAGGTAATTTTTGAGTAAAATTCAAACTGTGAGCTCACTTACTTCCTAATATTTACTTTTAAAGGTCCTCAGGGCCTGCTTAAATTTAAACATGCCATTTCGTTAATAAGTGTCTATTTTTAAGCTATATATATACTATTGTTTCCTACAACCCAGCTAAATCTGAAGCAACAGAATCTTCAAATATTTTTGAACCACAAAAAATACAGCCCAAACCCAGGAGGGTGGGGTCAATGGACCTATTTTTACGTGTATCTCTGAACAGCTACATCAGTCATAGCAGGCTTACGAGTACAGAAGGCATGCACACCCGTCAAAGGCCATGCCTACCCAGAAGAATATCCTTGTTGGGGACAATGTGACTATCACATTTTGGGAGATGGGATCTCAGCTTCAAATAACGCTTTATACCCTCATAGCACAGAAATGTGCTGAGTGCTATATGGCCAGGGGGGGAAATACAAAGAGAACATATATTTTCTCATGTGAAAGGGAACAAATCAGAATTTGTACAAATGGCTCAGCCGCAGGGAAAAATTAGGTAATGCAGGTCGTTCCAGCTCTAAAAATTATTTCTCTTCTCATCATCACTACTCAATTAAAGATCCACTTCAGCCGGGACCGGTTTGGCTCAATGGATAGAGCGTCGGCTTGGGGACTGAAGGGACCCGGGTTCGATTCCGGTCAAGGGCATGTACCTCGGTTGCGGGCATATCCCCAGTAGGGGGTGTGCAAGAGGCAGCTGATCGATGACTCTCTCTCATCGATGTTTCTAACTCTCTATCGCTCTCCCTTCTTCTCTGTACAAAATCAATAAAATATATTTAAAAAAAAAAAAAAAAAAAAAAAAGATCCACTTCATGTCGCTCCCTCTAAAATAGTGCCCACAATTTTGAAATTCCTTTTAGAAACCTTCCCTCCATTCAAGAGTATATATACTCCTCCCTAATAAAAAGACCTAAAATCTTTCCCTTGATTTACAGGAATACCAACTATTAAAGACTATTCTAACCCAGCCCCAAAAGACTATCTTAAGCATTTTACTTCTTACTGCTTCTTAATTCTCAATAGTTGGTATCACTAGGATCTGAAAATGCCCCAAGTATTATCCCTCCAGCCTATTTACCCTGGATAAGCCATTTCTCCCCATTCAACTAGGATTAGTCAAATTCTACCCAAATTTTAAAAGCTTCACATGTTCCATGAAGGCTTTCAGATCACACTAATCCTCTATGTTAGTCATTTGGTTGTATTATTTAACTTATGTGATATTGTGTCTGCTCAACTAGAGTTTAAATCCTTATAAACAAGATTTATATTTTACCCATTTTAATAACTGTCACATACAAAAACAAGAGGCTATTCAATAATTATTTAACCAATAAATTGCCACTGCATAAAACTTCCCATTCAATCATTCCAACACAATTGCTGCCCAATTTCTTAATGACTTTCAAAGAGAAGTCAAGGGTTCCATTGACTTAACTTCTCCATTACTAGAAGCCATTCACTTTACAATCTGACATTACTTAATTTAAACTTAACTAAATAATTGAAAACCTTCATTGTGGGGGAAGAAACTAAGGCCTAGAAATGCTAAATGATTTAATTCATACAATAAAGCAGTTATTAAACACATATAATGCCTACTACATACTGGACATATAATAACAGATAAGATACAACTACTTTACTCAAGGAATGCGCAGTTTTATTACATTCATTGTTTTTTTAATGGAGCTAGGGAGAAGCCACCTAGTTAAAATGTCTCCTCTTATAATAAAGTGTGCTTTCTTCCATCAGGATAAATTTCTATAAATAGGCTAAGAATATTCCCCTTCTTATAGGATGTGAAAATTTGACTTCTTTAGCCTTTATTCCAACAGTAAATTTGAAAATGCAGTTGGATAGGATATGTGGTATCATTATGCAGGACACTATTCATTGATGAAAATAAACCACTAGGCAAAAGAAGGGTTTTAACTTAACAATCTGTGAAAACTAAAGATGTTTGAGTAAGAGGTTTTCATTTATTTCAAGTTTAATTTAGTAGTGAAAAAAACTGCCATCTACTGGATGTTCACTGAACTACATGAATCTCTACAGTTATCAGTACAACCCAATCACCAAGATAGAAACAATTTTAATCCTATAAAAAACATTAAGATGCAAGACCTCTGTTAACTACATATTTCCTGTAATTAAATTATTAGCGGTCATACAGTAGTCCAGACCTGTGGTCATTTCTAAAATAGTAATCCATCTTTTAAAATGACCTCAGAATCCTGAAATGAAACTGAAACTTCTACTTGTAGGTTGTAACTGTATACACTTCATTACACACTGATCTATCATTCATATGACATTGATATGCCTGCAAGGTAAGGCCGCTACAGTAACAATACCATTATAGTAACACTACCATCACAGTAACAATACCATTACAGCAGAATTGTTAATAAAAGCTGCATAGGCATACAGCCGTAGGGAATGTATTTCAACCTTGTAAAAACACTAGGATCAACGACAATGACACACATTCATGTATCTAAACCTAGATGGTACTCTGTACAACTAAGAACTATGGCAAAACACTGTAATTCTGTTATTTGCTAGGGAAACATGGCACCGGATAGTTGTTCATGTTAAAGACTTCTCCATTTCGGGGTAGAAACCTTTTGAAATCGCACTATCTTGACCAATGACCAGTTTACTGACAAGGTTAAGGACTGGGTATAAGTGTTCACACTATAGTATTTCTCTCCCGATTCAGGGCGGTGTTTTTTTACAAAGTTTTTCTCAACCCCAAAGTCCCAGTTTCGCAGACATCAAGGTCCAATGAGCACATGGCTATGTCAGAGAAAGACTGCCAACCTTCACCTAAAGGACAGGTTATAATTAACATCATCCTCAGCGACAGTGTGCCCAGGCCCTAAGAATCAATCACCTCCGCCTTTGCACTATAGCTAGGTGGTATCAGTGCCACTGCAACAAGCAGACCCCGTTCACTCCGGCCGCCTTTGCTAAGGACCCCGGATCTGAGGTCGCCCGGGACGACCCCCAAGCCCAGGCAGTGACCCCGATGCCTTACAGAATTCCCCGCAGGAAAAGGCATAACTCTTGGGAGGAGCTCCCGCAGAGACCCGAGGGCCTAGGCCGGGCGGGATGCCAAGGCGAGGCCGGGGACGCCCTTGGAGGTTAATCCGCTGGAGACCCGGGGGGCGACACGGAGGTGGGACATGGGGAAAGGAGAGCTGACCTTTCTTGCTGGGCTTCCCAGCTCCGAGCCGGTCCTCGAAAGGAACTCAATGGGATCCCGCGTCCGCACCACGAGGCCCCGCCGGAACCCGCTACTAACCCCAGTGCAAGAACACCGGCAGCCCGGGCCCTCCGCTAGTGTCACACGGGAAGGAAACGCCGCCGGGGAGAGAACACTTCCGGCAGGACGCGGCCCGCCCCCTCGCGCCGAGCATGCGCAGTCCGGGCCGTCGGCCGGGAGGGGGCGCGCTTCTGGTGCTTGGGATCGGGCCGCGGCGAGGTCGCGCAGGTGCCGCTTAACCCGCGAACTGCCGGACGGAGGCTTTCCGCGAAGCCGGTGGGTCCGCCAAGGCGCTGCGGTTTTTAGCCATTGAGTCTCGGTTATGGAACTGGGGGAAGGTGCTGGTCCCATAAAGACCTTCTCCTGCTCGCAACACAGACCAAGAGGGGAGCCTTCCTGAAGCGTGCAAAGAAATGCTCTGTGTCATCCTTAAAGAAGTTCTTCCCCGAGTCCTGCTTTAACGTTTTCCCCTGCCCCTTTTCCTCTCCCTTCACCCTCGTGCGAACCCGCACGCCCCTGTGCTGTGCTGGAGCCAAATCTGCCTTTCGGTTTCTGGGGTGAGCTCCCCCTCCTGCCACCTGGGGGTGGCGCCTGTGAACCTCCCAGCGGGGCGATCGTGCAGCCCACCCAGGCAGGCCACGGCAGGCAGGGCAGAACCGGGCATCTGGTGACCGGTTTTGCATTTCGGTGACTTCCCTTTTTCTTCACCCCTTCCCCTTTCCAGAATGAGAGACGTGACACCAGAGGTCCCCAGGGAGCAGACCCGAAAGCCAGAGCGTCCTAAACATACTGCCAGCGGGGGTGGGGGGAGGATGGGGGTGGGGAGCGAAATGACATTAGACACTGTCCTCGGGTATAAGAAGCATCACTTGTTCCCATAGAGGCCATGAGGTTAAAGTGTTGAGACCGACCTTCCCTCTCCCTACCCTCCCTTAAGAAAAGCAGTTTGCGCCTTTCTGTTGTAGGTATCACCTTCGATGGCTAAAATACTGCAGCCTGATAGTTGAAGTTGGTGAATGCTGTCATTGTTACAAGCTTGTGATACTGTAGTGAGGATGATAGCTACGGTTTATTGAATGACAGTACTAGGTGTCATGCAGTAGTCACATCCCTAATCTAAATTTCTCCAAAACAATCCTTTAAAAATAGCCATCAGCCGAAACCGGTTTGGCTCAGTGGATAGAGCGTCGGTCTGCGGACTGAAG